GGCTTGTTCCGGGTTAACACTAAGCTGGGCCCCGTCTCTAATATCACATTATTGTTTGGCGCAAGTTGACGACGCGCATAGGGAGCCGGGAACCAGGTTAACACGACATAAGCTGGTTCCCGGCTCTCTATGCGCGTCGTCAACTTGCGCCAAGTTATATTAGAGACGAGGCCCAGCTTATACACTGAACACGATCGGTCATTTCGTCAAAACTGGCCAAATATTGAGATTGCAGCTGAGGTCATGCTGGCAGCTGAAGTGACACATTAAGGTAAGGAATATGTGAATATTACAATGATCACGTATTAAAGTAATTTACCACATGTTAGCCTGTCACATGTGACACATTAACTTTTATAGCCAACATGTAAGTAAATGTATAATTATATTTTTATATGACAAGTAGCCTGTCCATCATATGTTAGTATTTGCTTATGTATATAATGTAGAAATATGTTTACTTTAACTGGATAATTTGTATGCTAATGTGACTCACTGTCTTATTTCATATACTCCCTGTACTCTGTGAGAATGATTAATAGCCTCAACATATTTTTCCAGATGTGAAGAATCAAGAACAGCTTTAATAACAGGGAAGTTTTGCATCAGAGATCATCGTGAAGTGGAAGAAAAGACATTTTAAGGGTATGAACATTTTCACTTGAACTAGTTGAACAATAACCATGATGACAACTTTATCATGGGGGAATTTTTGGTGGTGGGGTAGCCTAGCGGTTGAAGCGTTCACTCTTCGTGATGAAGACCCAGGTTTGATTCCTGCCACATAGCTGCGATATTGCTGAGTGTGGCGTTAAACATCAAACAAAGCTAACAGCCGCATACTTACTCACGTGGGGATTCCAGGTTGAAGTTAGTCCCCATCAACATGATCAACCTATGCTAGTTGTGAGAGATAACTTAATGGGTGATCAGGCTCCCTGACTTGGTTGATCCATGTTATTGTATCCCAATTGTGTGGATCGATGCTCATGATGTCAATCACTGTATAGACTGGTCCAGACTTGATTATTTACAGACCGCCGTCATATAGCTGGAATATGGCTGAGTGCAGAGTTAAACAACAAACACCAACATGATTCTACAACCTGCTCTTGTGGATACCATTTTGAAGATCCTACACATAACTTCTTTTCGGGTCTTAACTATTGCAATATGTTCTACTACATGTGTTTTAAACATATATTTTTTTTATAGTGAACTGGATTTGCAAACAAGCCGATGGCTTATCTAAATGATGCTGAAATACAAAATAAGTATTAATAAAATACTAATTCTATACTATTGCAAACTATCAGTTGAGCAATAATGTAATCATCTGATTATAAGTAGATAATGAAGGAGAAGTCCATATTGATTAAATCTACCAGATTCTGAGATAAATGCACGTATTGATTGATTTATTTCAATGTTTTCTTGTACATAATTTTCAACAATTCCATATAAAGCTTTCTTATATCATATCCATGCTGTATAATAATACCTATTATTTCTAATAATAGCATAATTTGGACACACAAATAAGTAATGAATGGTATTTTTATAACAGGTCCCACACATGCGGGATAGGTCATTTGACATGAATCAGTTTTATGTGAATTTAAATCACTACAAGCTGATCTGAGTCATGAAAGGATATGCCTTCGATTCTGTGAAAATGGAAATGCTAAAACATCTCCCAATATTAACCATGCTATTACAGAATCTGTTCACTTGTTTTTGTATGTAAAATATTTTTGAACGATTACATCCATCTAATGATTGTTTGTATGTGTGATATGCCAGTAGAGGTATATGTGTACAAGCATGTGCATACACATAAAAAACATTATGTTTGTTTGGCTAGGTACCAGTATATGAATAGGTTGTTTAGTGCGACTTGTATATTAGCATCATCATAGTTTCAACAGACAGTTTATGTATATCAAATGTTAAATGTCTTTGTAGGGAGAATTGCATATCAAAACTGTCATTATTTTATTACTTATGAGTAGAACTTTTTAAGTATCTGGCATGATACATTTCCTTGGTCCACAGACACATGTTACCAGTAAACTGACTTGATAAGTAGCATAACAGTCAGTGTGGTTGGAAACTAATTAAGCCGTCACTACTCAATTAAGTAATTAACAGACAATTGCAAGTGATAATACCCACCTGACACTAATTGCCCTGTTAATCCCTAATCCACCATGAGTTGACATTGAGCTCATCTTGCTAATGAGCTGTTGTGAGCGTAACGAGATGATAAACATCAAAGGTGGGGCAGGCTTTGATCAAGTGTTCTGTAGAAGAGATTATGTCACTTGTTTAATGTTTATTTAGGATTAGCTACATCCCTTGATGCGACCAAGACCATACTTGAGGTTATCAGACAGTTTGTCTGGATACAGCCTGATGTCTCAACTGTACTTATTGGATTCTGCCTTGTAGCAAACTATGTGTGTGACAAGGACTTTGACCACTCTGTGCAGATGCATAACAATGCATAATGAACTTGGGGTATGATTCAATTATGTCACACAAGTCAAAGATAGGTTCCACTGTATTTAGAAACAGACGATAGATGCAATACTGTGTAACTTTATAACAATCAAATGATTTACAATTACCCTTGAAAAGTTCCAAAACCAAATAGAACTACTTAAATTATGATAACACTTGACCAATATATTTGGCAGTTTTTGCCGTTATTGTTAATCTGAATTAAAGATAGGATAAATGATAAAAATATGATAATGCATATCACACACAAGTGTGTATTATACGCAAATAAATAAGTCTTGTATACATTGATTAATTGGAAAGGGTCCTAATTGGGATTGTTCACTAGCCAATATATTAGCAAATATTCCCATGGGCGCTTATTAGATTGAGGCGCTTATTACGTCAAATACTTTAGTTCTGTTTTTATGTATAAGAACCTATTTTATGCAATTTGCATTGCCTCGTTTACCTTTCCTTATGTTTTGATGTAATGCAAACATTTGAGAAAAATTCAGGTGAGCCTGCCTTATGGCACTACAGGAATTGTTTTCAGAAGATCAATTACAATTTTGTATTTTCTGTACAATTTACTGTTTGCTATGGCTTTTTTACATTGGTTAACATGGTTTGGTTAACAGTTGCTTGATAAATTGTCATTACCTTACTCATTGAGAAACCAAATTTTTACCCTTTGTCAATATATGTGTGTTTCTTATATTTTTAATAACAAGCTTTTAAAGATGTTATAAATTGTTTCAGGCACCTGGATTTCACAATGACACCAGATCAGACAAGTCATACAAAGGACTCTCCGGATGATGAATAATCCTCCCCAGAACAACTAACAGGTTCACCTCAGAAAGTGATGATTCTGAATGAATAATGCCACATCAGTGTGATTCTGTAGGTTGTTTTATTACGACATTAATCAAGTCTAAAGGAATCAATACCACAGCAGTGAGACTGTTTATGTGGTGTACACTGACGCTGACTATACAAATCTGAATGACTTTTGTGGTTTACTGCACAAACATAATTGACTTTAGATATTCTTCTACCTTGAAATTCTTCTGAGATTTGACTAATTTGTTTATTTAGAAAATGGCATTGAAGCATCTGTTTCTGTTTTTTGAATGTTCTTGCAAACACCTCTGGTTACTGAACCAATGAAATGTCATAAAATCAATAAATATGATTTTTTATCTTAACAAGTTTTTTGTTTTGCTTCTTTAAAGAAATATGATATTGATCATTCATAACATAGGTGCTAACATATATCAAATATACTAATGCCCTGAATGTTTTCCTACAATTAATACAGCTCACTGAACGAAGTTTTTAGTTCCATGTCAGTAGAAAAGTTACATTGATATTTTTATGTACCAGTACTTTATTAGGTGTTTTCTGTGGATGCCATTAGTCTTATGCACCCATTTGGGTTAATGATATTCTGTTTCGAACTTCAATGAAACTCGTCTGTCAAGATGTAACAAGTATTGATACAGTTCCAAAATAAACTTTTAATCTCACCAGGAACAAAGGCCCAAGTGAGCACATAGCCAATGACTTTCATTTTTTTGTCAGAGTGAGTATGGTGTTATGCCACTTTATGAGCAAAATTCAAACGATATTATGATGGGTGACACCAAGCAATGTACCGATGTGGTGAATCGAATGCTTCAACCACTAGGCTAAAACAAACTGGGAATATGAAGACGATATGTAAGGATACCATCATACCAGGACTGAATGCTTTTCATTTAATACGCTGAACATCCAAATTGAAATATATATGAACTTGAAAAATGTTTTCACCAAAAGTACATGCCCATAGATCTCAACTTCAAGGGGATATTTACAACTAAAATAGCACAGAATATTACTACAGCTATCTGCTATGCCCAGGCTAACATTATTTACTAGGAGAAAGACATCTCGAAAAATTGCATCCGGATACCTGCCGGATACCTGCCGGATACCTTCAGCAATGTTCAATTTTCATGGTTAGTTTCCAATATATTTTTAGGTGTTTCACACTTAATTGAACAAAATGCACCCCCCAAATTGTGACATGTTTTTGGAAACTCAGAATGAGGTATCCGGTGCCGGATCCCTGGACACCCAGATTGAAGTATCCGGTGAGGTATCCGGTGCCGGATACCCGGATTCCAGGTGACATACTTTCCGGTGAGGTGTCCATGCCGGATACCACGGATCTGGTATCCGGCAAGGTATCTGCCACCGGATACCCGGACGCGTTTTGGGTAAGTGTCCGGTGGTATCCGGCAGGTATCCGGATACCGGAAACTGCATTTTTTTTGCTGTGGTGTATGGAAGGGCCCGTCGGGAGATACGACAGGTCGCTACAGACACATCACTACCACCAGAAACACGGGTGAAGGTGGTTCAAGCCTCGAGTCCCAAGTCATCGGGTAGTTCTGGTGATTCTGGCACAGAGAGGTGGGGGGGGGGGGGGGGGGGGGGGAAATGTCCCAATGATCATCACACCGCGAGAGGGCAAGGTGTGCCTTGTCTTTCTTACCTCCGCTGTTGTACTGAAGCCCCAGACTGTCACACGGGTAACGGGACGATTGGAGAAAAAAATAGAACAATACATCGTGGAGCCTGTCCTGGGAGTCCTGGTACACGCCCTGATACCTCGGACCATACACCAGGGGGGAGCAGAGCCAGTTGTGTGCCTCATCAACGCCTCTGATAGACACATTAAGTTCTTCCACGGTCAAAAAGTGGGTGTAGTGTCTGAAGCTGAGGTTATTGTGCCGGAATATGAGACAACAATGACATGGTGTAGAATGGATAAGAGTCCGTATCAGTGCAGAGTCAAAGGGATAGGGGATCCAGTGGAAGAGATGGGAGTGCCAGTGGTCCCACCTCGTTTGACAGACTTATTTGAACGTTCCAAGGTTCATTTGGAGGATGACGATAGGCGCCAGTTGGCAGAACTTCTGATTGAATTCCATGACGTGTTCGCCCGGGACGAGCTTGACCTGGGTGACTTCTCAGCCAGAGAACATTCCATAGACACCGGGGATGCCAAGCGGTTGAGACGCACAGCTCTCGGTTTTGCAGAAGAAGAGGAGGAACATCTCAAGAAGATGCTGAAGGGAGGCATCATCCAGCCTTCAAGCTCGGAGTGGGCCTCGGCGCCAGTGTTAATCCGCAAGAAATGTGGAGGTGTGCGCTGGTGCATAGATTTTCGCTCGCTTAATGCCAGGACTCGAAAGACGTCTTCCCTCTGCCCTTGATCGACGAGTGCCTCGACACATTAGCAAACAGCACTTGGTTTTCGAAATTACTTGCCAACTCTGCCTACTGTCAAGTCAGGATTAAAGAGGAAGACAGGAGGAAAACCGCATTTGTCACGAAATACGGCCTCTACGAGCACATAAGGATGGGTTTCGGATTGTGCAACGCTCCAGCCACCTATGCCCGGGTGATGTCACTTATACATGGAGGGTTGAGTTGGGACATAGTCCTAGCATTCTTAGATGACGCAGTGGTAAATGGCATCACCATCCCTCAGCACTTTGAGAATCTACGGACTGTTTCGAGACGATTCCGAGAATACCGCCTAAAACTGAAGCCAAAGAAGTGCGAACTCTTCCAGCAGAAAATAGAGTTTCTAGGGAGAACCGTCAGTCGTGATGGAGTGGAGGTGAACAACGCTAGTCTGGGAGTAGTCGTGGAATGGCCAGCCCCTAAGACGACAAAGGAAACAGAGAGCTTCCTGGGATTTGCGAACTACCACAGAAACTTTATCAAGGGTTATGCCAAGGTAGCGGCCCCTCTGTATTCAATCACTGGGAAGAAGCCCTTCAACTGGGGACCAGATCAGGAGATTAGCTTTGAAACCCTCAAACAGGCTCTGTTGTCTACACACCTAATTAGGAGGGAGGGGTGGTCACAACCTCCTCACCTCAGCCTACACCCCATAAATTCACCAGCTTGTCTAATGTACTGGAGGGTGTTGGCATTGCTCATGAATGCACTCACCCCATCCCAGGTTGACGTGTTCCGGACTTTCCTACTGCCCGTGGCATCCAGAGCCATTCCAAAACCCTTGGAAACAGCCTCAAAACCGGAGTCCTCGGACAATTGGGACCAGGAACTTTCCAGTACCGGTGAAGAGGTGTGATTTCTCATGGATCTGGAGCCCCAGAGTGGAAAGAGACGGGTGAGGGCACTGTACAGACAATCGTGTCTTCCGACTATACTTGGGGATGGGAGTCCAGCATGTCACCCACAGAAGAGGGCACAGCAATATCACGGCGGGGGACACCAGAAATGGGCTTCACACATTGTACCCATGTCGGGAATTAAACCCGGGTCTTCGGCGTGACAAGCGAACGCCTTACCCACTAGGCTACCCGACCACCCCAGTATCCATTTAAGGTTTCATAATATATACAGTAGTTACTGAACATCGAATATATATCTCGATAAATATAATCTATATACTGAAACCAACATCATAAATCGATTAATGCAAATAACTTCTGGTTGCGGGTTCTGAAATGATGTGGGTATACACATCAGGCCTATCTTATAATCGTCCACCTACGGGTCATTGCAATTGACCCTTACTTACGGGTTACATTTGGAGGTTGACCAATCGTTGGGGCATGAGTGAGTGAGTGAGTTGGATATAACGCCGCTTTTAACATTATACCAGTTATATCGTGAAATATATAGCTGTACATATATTTTTATATCTTAATACAATTGCATGATAATGCCAAAAGAAATTATGATGATGAGGATCGTGATGACGATGATGATGGGGATGATGGTAATGATGATGATGATGTCCTTTCTATTTACTTCAGAACTGACGACAACTGTAAAGTCAGGGTGCAGTGATAAACTATGGCTGGCTGAACAATTGGGAGTGTGTGTCAAAGAGAGTAGAACTAGCCACTGACCGAAGACAACTTTGAACAATGGACTCTTCAGGTGACACAAATAGGGAAGAGAGACCTGAACCCCTGACATGATCCACGACTGAAGAGAGACATAATGAGGATGATCCTGCCGATGAGCACCATGGACAGAACAACAGATAACCTGACTGGTGAAAGTGATACCATGGACAGAACAACAGATAACCTGACTGTTGAAAGTGATACCATGGACAGAACAACAGACAACCTGACTGGTGAAAGTGATACCATGGACAGAACAACAGACAACCTGACTGGTGAAAGTGATACCATGGACAGAACAACAGATACCCTGACTGGTGAAAGTGATACCATGGACAGAACAACAGATAACCTGACTGGTGAAAGTGATACCATGGACAGAATATCAGACAACCTGACTGGTGAAAGTGATACCATGGACAGAACATCAGATAACCTGACTGGTGAAAGTGATACCATGGACAGAACAACAGATAACCTGACTGGTGAAAGTGATACCATGGACAGAACAACAGATAACCTGACTGGTGAAAGTGATACCATGGACAGAACAACAGATAACTTGACTGGTGAAAGTGATACCATGGACAGAACAACAGATAACCTTAATGGTGAAAGTGATACCATGGACAGAACAACAGACAACCTGACTGGTGAAAGTGATACCATGGACAGAACAAGAGATAACCTGACTGGTGAAAGTGATACCATGGACAGAACAACAGACAACCTGACTGGTGAAAGTGATACCATGGACAGAACAACAGATAACCTGCATGGTGAAAGTGATACTATGGACAGAACAACAGACAGCCTGACTGGTGAAAGTGATACCATGGACAGAACAACAGACAACCTGACTTGTGAAAGTGATACCATGGACAGAACAACAGATAACCTGACTGGTGAAAGTGATACCATGGACAGAACAACAGACAGCCTGACTGGTGAAAGTGATACCATGGACAGAACAACAGACAGCCTGACTGGTAAAAGTGATACCATGGACAGAACAACAGATAACCTGACTGGTGAAAGTGATACCATGGACAGAACAACAGACAGCCTGACTGGTGAAAGTGATACCATGGACAGGTCAACAGACAACCTGACTGGTAAAAGTGATACCATGGACAGAACATCAGACAACCTGCATGGTGAAAGTGATACCATGGACAGAACAACAGATAACCTGACTGGTGAAAGTGATACCATGGACAGAACAACAGATAACCTGACTGGTGAAAGTGATAACCTGGACAGAACAACAGACAACCTGACTGGTGAAAGTGATACCATGGACAGAACAACAGATACCCTGACTGGTGGAACTGATCCTATGGACAGAACATCAGACAGCCTGACTGGTAAAAGTGATACCATGGACAGAACAACAGACAACCTGCATGGTGAAAGTGATACTATTGACAGAACATCAGATAACCTGCATGGTGAAAGTGATACCATGGACAGAAAAAAAGATAACCTGACTGGTGAAAGTGATACCATGGACAGAACAACAGACAACCTGACTGGTGAAAGTGATACCATGGACAGAACAACAGATAACCTGACTGGTGAAAGTGATACCATGGACAGAACAACAGATAACCTGACTGGTGAAAGTGATACCATGGACAGAACAACAGATAACGTGACTGGTGAAAGTGATACCATGGACAGAACAACAGATAACTTGCATGGTGAAAGTGATACCATGGACAGAATATCAGACAACCTGACTGGTGAAAGTGATAACCTGGACAGAGGAGTGGTAAACCTTGCCGAGATCGAGAGAAGAGGTCACACTGTCCATAGTGCCAATCTGTCTTCTGACGATCAAGCCTCTCCCCGCCAAGCAGTCATTGAAATTGGAGAAAATAGTTTGACCGTTATTGACCCTGGGTCTTCTGGTTTAACGGTCATAGAACCAAATCAACAGCCCAGAGAACGATGTCTCACCAATACCAATCTTCCAATATCAAACACGTTAGCAAACTCACAGGTGCCGTCTCTCCATGCTTCAAGGAAACATGTTCCAGGTTTTCAGACATCACATATCACTAAAACAAAGGAGGGAGCTTCACTGACGACTGCAGGCCTTTCATTCATAAAAGCTCCATCATCTAGCCAAACAACACACGAGAAAAAACCGAGGCGTCAGCCTGTGCCATCAGAAAATCAGGGAGCAATAGGTGGGAAGATAATGCTTCTGCAGTCGATATTAGTTATTGTAGTATTTCTGAAGTCATATTCATTCATCTTCCCTAGGAAAGAGAGTTAACTGACTTTTAAAGTCCAGTTTCCACCCTTGCCGAACTGGGCTGGAATTCCTCGGCTCGATCGTAGCGCCAGCAGTGGCTATTACGAGTTATGTCCTTTCTATGCCTCTCCTATTGACCAATCAGATTCAACCTCTCGTATCACTTGCATTTGCTTTAAACAAAACGGTGGCGCCCAGTCAAGACGGTCTGATTAATAATCAAGATCTATATTGTGATAAAACGAGTCTTACATTGCCAAGTGCATCAAATCACGTGAGCACCTTGATTAAAAGCATGACAAGATTTAGAAAATGTCTGTTGACAAGGAGTTAGCGGTGCACATGCTTTCCTGCAGTCGACCGAAATCTGCATGACACTTTACAAACCAGATTTCGATTTCGGTGCACGATTTTGATTGGACTATGCATAGACTCGTTAGTCCAGCCAAAATGTAACTCAATAATACCAGCCTAGTTCGGCAAGGTTGAAACTGGACTTTTATAGTCAGTGAACTCACTTGCCTCGGGGAGATGTATTCATTTTGTTATCTGACATACATGTGCTCAAAGGACAAAGGTTATATTTTTGGCAATTATTTGTATTAACCCGCATTACCGTTTGCTCAAACCATACAAAAACACAGCTTAAAAGGCGTGCATTGAAATAGGGTTTTATGCCCTGTAGTATAACCTCATTTGACTTAAATGTCAATTCTTTATCTGGAGGTTTTGATTAATGTCATATGTGAAATCGAGAGACTACCTCTGTTTAATATACGATATGTATTGCAGGATTTCTGTGTTTGAAATAACTTGCCGGGACTACAAGTACAAACTGATTAAAGTCTAGTTCCATTTAACAAGTACTAGTATTTCAGCATTGACATAACAACCTTATTTGTTTCGTTAAATGCTTTATTACAAATACGTAACAATACATCTAGTCATGATTTGTCTGTAGAATTTTACATATTTACATATAGAATGCTTAATTCACAAATACGTTTCACATCTCAACACATCTCATTTGTCTGTAATATTTATTTTTTTCATTTGCTTCCAGATCAACGTTTTATGAACATCTGTGGTGAGTAGTTTCAAAGTGTGTGAGTGAGTTGAGTCTAACGCCACTTTCCGTGACAGTATTTTTTTTCACCGTGTGTCAAGTTAACCAAAGTAATGCAGATCCTAGACATTTACTACTTTGAAAAACAGTTGAACCTGGTTATAGTGCTGACAAACCAAGACTTATGTCGGTGGCGAATCTCGGATTCGAACCAACGCTCATAAGATTGAATCTCTATGCTAATTTGAGCAGTGGATGTTGAAAGTATTTTCTCAGAAATGTAAAGTGTTTTTGTTTTGGTTTGTTTGTTGTTTAACGCCACACTCAGCAATATTCCAGCTATATGACGGCGGTTTGTGAATAATCGAATCTGGACCAGACAATCCAGTGATTGGTATCATGAGCATCGATCCACGCAATTGGGATATTGCTAATGTCAAAGCCAAAATCAATTAACACAACCTTAATATTGTAATATCATAGAATGATCAATGTACCATGTCCAGGGGCCGTAGTTATAAACATCCTCAGAATTAAAAGTTACACGTGAATGAAGAAACAAATGATGATACCAAATCCTAATCTCAGCCTGAACAGCACTCGAAGTTTTAAATATAGCACAGGTTCCCCCTGGTTACAAGAAATGTCCAAACTAACAGTCATCTCACAGCTGTTACAATAAAAGCAACAAGAAACGTTCTACATTCAAAATAAATCTCTCAGGGTATCACGATTCCGACTCTATCATGAGCATGATTCACAATCAAATAAAGATAACTACACTTCTGGGTGTAGCATTAAGCAATAGTCTTAGAGGGTTAAGAGTATTTTTAAGGATAGTTTGAGAATGTTTCTGACTACAGCTCCAGGAATCATTCACCCACTCCCCTCTTTATCAGGACACAACAGTTGTTGTAAAATCGTCTAAATACATCTACTACCGGAATTTGAAACTGACTTGAGTTACCCCTCACAAAGACACTATCCTGGAAAACTAAACCACTGGGCAAAAGAAGCTTATCACTTGTCAATTAAGATTTATCTGAGTTAAACTACAACGTTATCAGACAACGATACCGATCTTGAGTGGTCTTATGTCTGGCCTGTTTGCTGATAACGGCTCAACAACTTGTAGATACTGGTTTGACTGCAGCTCAAGGTTGTTGCAATCTGCTGTTAAGAGGCCCTCATATCGGCCATACCAATAGCTCAGTCACGTTCCTCTTGTGTGAGCCTCGACCAAGGGTCACAACGCCAGTTGAAGATCGCTACATCTGGACAATCCACCTGCGGAATCGATAGTTGACGGCGACGGCATTTGGACACCCCATCGCCAGACGAACAGGCAAGGACTGTAAGTCGATGCAGCGGCGTGATTGGGAAAGGGTACTGTTCACAGACGACAGTCAATTTTACTTGTTCCCAAATGGTGGCCTAGTCCACGTTTATTGACGTAGGAGAGAGCCACTGGCACCTAACTACATCATAGATGAACACCCTTATGGTAGAGGCGGCGTCATGGTATGGTGCAGTATTTGTGGTCAGCGGACAACAAAGCTTATCATTACACGTGGGAACCTGACTGGCCAAAGATACAGAATTTTTTATTTTGTCTCCTCCACTCGGCCTTATGGCATGTGCATTACCGATGTCATTGCAATGTTGTAAAGACATCGATAAGTGTATTTTGCCCTGTGATGTTATTACCTTATTTTGTAATTGTTGTAATAAGTTTATTGGAAAAGACCAAAATGTTTGTTCAAACTATTTCTTATGAGGTAGGATAGGATAACTGTTTGAAGTGTGCCAGAAACACAACGTAATTACACAATACTTAAACTGATAACACCATGTAAGTGACATTTATTCATCTAAGTTGATTGCCATACCTGTCCTCTTAATGAAAATGATCTGGTCATGTATAACAATAGACTACTGTCCGGATGAATGTCTTAAGAAGGCTTCATTTCCAAACATATGCGCCAGATACGCTGGGCTTTAACTGTACATGAATTAGAGTGATCTATATTCTTTTTCCAGAAACAACACAGGCAATGATAGGACAGCATGACACAGTGTATGTATCAACGTATGGCGAGAGGATGGCCTTAAAACATCTACAGCAGCGTGGTGCCATATTTATGAAAGGACGACCTGGCTCTGGGAAATCTAGATTAGGGTTAAAACTTCTTGCTGACGTCTCAAGGCTAACAGACAGGAAACCCGTAGTGTTGACATCGGCAGAACAGTGGAGAGATATCCCTCAGAAACAAAATGATGAAGAATCTGGAAAACCAGCGAATAGGTATGTTGTCATGATAGATGACATTTTCGGATCAACGAATTTTGTTGAGTCTCGCTTTGATGAATGGACTGGAGTGTTTGATGTCATGCATCCTTCTGTTGAATCTGGCCATGTAATGCTGGTTCTTGCATCTCGGCCAGACATTAGTGACCAATGTCAGGCCCGACTGAACAAATACAAACTCACTCGTCATATGTTCTATCTTACCTTAGATGAAGATGAGTTGACACTCCGACCTAGGGAAAAGATGATGTTGCTGAAAAGCATTTGTGAAACAAAAGTGAAGTTTACTAAACATGAGATAAATGAAATAGTACAGTTAAAGACAACACTTGGATTCCCTCAATGTTGTCGATATTTCGCAGGAAGTAAGGAAGCCCAGGCTCAAAGGGTCAGATTCTTCCAAAAACCAAACGAATATGTGCTGGAGGAAGTACGCTGCTTGCAAGAAAGTGATGGGCTTGGCTATCTTGTTCTATTGATTGTGTTGTTTGGCAAAGGATATCTTGATACCAAGAATCTTCAACCTCACAAAAGTCCACAAGAGATTAAAAAAATGTTAGATGACTTGACAAAGTTATGCTCAAAGATTCCTAACAATCGAAGTCTGTATGAGATCAAACAGAAGGCTGATTCACTTTGTGGTTCATACCTTTGGCACACTGAAAAGGGATATGTTTTCCAGCACCAGTCAATATTCGACGCAGTTTTCATAAACATATCACAAGTGTATCCTGACATTTACATTCATTTGTGTCCCGCTAACATATTTGTAGAATTTGTCAGAACATCAGAAAGGGAGAGTGAGAATAGAAGAAACCTAGTGCTCTTGAATGAGGACCATTATGAAGCATTTGCCGATCGAATAATTCAATTGATGGTCAGTGAAGAAGCGGTCACCATTTTGAAACACCCATCTCTTCATAATGAAACATTTGTAAATCACGTAGTAGATAGATGGTTTTCACAACAAAATGTTGGGGATATAGTTTCTCATAAATTTGAAAAGTCAAGGGAAGTGATCAAATTTGCATCTCATTATCTTTACACACAGAATTTAGAAGTCAAAACGTTGTTGGAGCTTTTCGTTCTTAACAAACATTCTTTCATGCTCTCCACCCTATTAGAAAAGTGCCGCCTTTCCACCGATGTGTTGCAGGATTGTTTGCCCTGTGCTATCTATGTAGGGAGCAACCTACTCATAGAGACACTTTTAGCCCAAGGAGTTAAACCAAATGGGAGCTGCTTCAGCGCCCTTTGTGTTTCAAGAGGCATCGACACAAACACCACTGAAAGACTGTTTACCAACATTTGGGATGACGTTGAAAAGATACAAGCACAGTGGGCCAAGGCTAACGCGGGTCTTGTGCATATGTTCAACTGGACACCATTTTCATTGGCAGTACTAAATGGGAACTATACCGTTGTGAAACTGCTAACAGATAAACTGAAGCACGAGAGAAAAAACAACATCATATTTGAAGATTCTTTAAAAGCTTTATTGTGTGAGCTGCAGACAACAAACCCTTATCCTGTGTTCAAACCATACGACATGGACAACTTGACAAAGATAATGAAGCTTCTACTGAACGATTATCATGCCAACGATACTGGTTATCTGTGCTGGTTAGCATCGGCACACTCTGATGCATCAGCTCTGAAGCTGATTCTTGAATTCATCAAGACTGTTAAAGTTGCATTGAATACCTCACGTATTACACAGTGCATACAACCAGATTATGGAGGTCCATTTGATCAGGCTGCAGCATATGGTGGGGCAGATTGTTTGGAATCACTGTTAGAACTTAACAGAGATCCATTCATAAATCCAAGTAAGGAAAGGAATGGGTCCTTGCTTCACATTTCAGCCAAACATGGAAACAAAAAGTGTGTTGAGATGTTGCTGAAGTTGGGTCATCCTGTTATGTCCAAGGACAGCATTGACCTCCAGTACTTTCTGTCAGGACTTCTACCCTCAGTTCAGAAATTGCTTCCTTCGTATGTTGGATGCAAGGAGACGTTACTTCATGCTGCTTGCAGACATGCTGACGTGGATATGGTCCAATTTATATGTGAAATTGGAGCCAGCGTTGATGCAGTTGACACGGATGGGGAAACAGTTGCACATGCAGCCGCAGCATCACACACTGGTGGAGTAGAAAAACTTCAATATCTGTTTAATGTGAAACATGCTCCTCTTCATAAAACAGACAATGAAGGAAGAACAGCTCTGTTTCCAGCTGTTATATCAGCAGTAGAGACAGGCGATCTGGAGCTTGTTACGTTTCTTATAGACCAAGGACTAAGTGTTAACTGCAAGGATAACTCCAACAGAAATTTGGCGATGCAATCTGCTGCACTTACAGGTGTAAGGCATAAGTACCTCTCAGAAACTGTAACACATCTTTTGAATGCACATCTTGATATCAATCTGCAAGATCTTGAAGGTCGAACAGCGCTTCACTTTGCTACAAGACATACAAATATCGACTGTGTTTTGGTACTGCTTCAAAAAGGTGTTGCATTAAATATAAAAGATAAACAAGGTATGACAGCACTCCACTATGCTGCAAAAGAAGTCAATTCAAGGGACGAGAAGATGGTCCTTGGAATTATGAAGCTGCTTCTAAAACAGGAAACTGAACAGGAAACTGGTATTGAAGCACAAGATATTTTGGGGATGACACCACTTCACCATGCTGTTAAGTCACGGAAAATTGATAGAGTAATGTTGTTACTGCAACAGAAGGTGAATCTCAATTTACAAGAAACCAATGGGAAAACCGCCCTCCATTTTGCAGCAACGTTTCAATCGTGGCCAATTGCTTCACGCCTCTTAGATGCAGGGTGTGATGCCAATATGCGAGATCTTGGGGGCAAAACAGCATTACATTATGCTTCAAATAATGACTGCATCTTCAATATTCTTCTTCTCCTCGAGAAAGACGTCGATATACACGTTCAAGATAACAAAGGACAGACAGCTCTTCACATTGCTGTAGAACATGAAAGGGAAAAATTTGTTGAATTGCTTTTAGAGGAAGGCATAGATCCCATGATTCAAGATAATGACGGAATGACTGTGCTTCATAAGGCGGTTACTATGTCGAACACCAGCAAGAATAATAGCATTGTGAAACTACTGCTTGCAAATGGCGACTCTCAAGGTGTACAAGGACAAAATGAGAACACAAATAAAGGCAATTACTCAAGAACGGTTGATAATAAAGGGAGGACAGCCCTCCACTGTGCTGCAATTCGTGTGAATAAAGATTATGTAGGAATGCTCCTAAATAGAGGCGTGGACCCAAATATACAAGACCAACACGGCATGACAACACTTGCATTTGCTACAGAACGTTCATCAGTCCAGAGCATTAAGTTACTCTTCGATAAAGGGGCAGATCCTAACTTACGTGACAGTGAGGGCCGTACATTGTGGTTCTATGCACGGTCAATAGATGTATGGGAACTACTGATGGAACAAGGAGTTGATCCAACTGTAACAGATGGACAAGGGAGGACAATACTTCACTATGCAGCACGTTTATGTGGTGCGGACGCAATTAAACTGGCGTTACAAATAGATATCGATCACACGTTGAAAGACGACACAGGTAGAACAGCCCTTCACTATGCTGCTGAGACAGGATCTGAAGAGACAGTTCAACTTCTCTTGGAGAAAGGTGTTGATCCAAGCATCAAAGACAAAACAGGGAGTGTGGCTCTCCATTATGCTGCAAGGAGAGATTCCAGTGGGGGTGTAAAACTGCTGTTAGAAAAAGGTGATAACATAGCTGTGAAAGACAACACTGGCAGAACGGCTCTTCACTATGCTGCACAGGAAGGAATAACTGACAGTGTTAGGTTACTCTTAGAGAAAGGATTTGACCAAAACGAACGAGATAGTCAGGGAAAGGTGGCACTTCATTATGCTGCAGGGGGATTCGGGGAGGGCGTTTTGAAACTGTTGATCGATAAAGGGACCAACCCAAGTGTAGAGGACCAAAGTGGCAGGACAGCCCTTCACTATGCGGCAATGGAACGAAGAGATGACAGTGTTATGGCTCTTTTATTGACAGTTGTTGACCCAAACAAACAAGATGAGCAGGGGAAAACAGCCCTTCACTATGCTGCAATGTACGGAACAGCTGACAGTGTTAAGGCTCTTTTACTGAATGGTGTTGACCCAAATGCTCAAGATGAAGCAGGGCAGGTGGCACTCCATCATGCTGCAAGGAGATATTCCAGTGGTAGTTTAAAATTGCTGTTAGATAAGGATGTTAACCTGACTGTAAAAGACAACACTGGCAGGACAGCTCTTCACTGTGCTGCACAGGAAGGGCTATTTGACAGTGTTAGGTTGCTCTTAGAGAAAGGCTTCGACCCAAACGAACGTGATAATCAGGGAAAGGTTGCACTTCATTATGCTGCACAGTCATCTGACAATCTGAGACTTTTCATCGATAAAGTGCCCAATCCCAGTGTAGAGGACAATAGTGGCAGGACAGCCGTTCACTATGCTGCAATGAAAGGGTTGGCTGCAAATGTTCTGCATCTTTTACTGAAAGGTATTGACCCAAACAAACAAGATGATCAGGGGAAAACAGCCCTTCACTACGCAGCAGGGCCAGGATCTCACTTAATGTGCAGAGCGACTGTCCACATACTCTTACAACGTGGCAGTGAAGTCAATATCAGAGATACGAGGGGCATGACAGCCCTCCATCATGCTGCAGAGGCTGGCAAACAGGATATCATGGCACTGCTTATCGATAATGGTGCTACTATTGGTATGCAAGATCAACAGGGAATGACCGCCCTCCACTATGCAGCAGAACGAGATAATATCCAGTGTTTCGAGCTTCTGCAGAAAGGCATTGACACTAGCATTCAAGAAAATGAGGGTAGGAAACCTTTTTTTAGGGTTGGAGATGAACTGGAAGAATATTTAATTAAATTGCTTACCAAATTGAAACAAGACATTTCCAGCACGCCACAGTGATAAATGTAAATCCATCTGTGACAAGAAGCAAGTACTATCACATCAATCACTCAAAGTGTTAAAATCTTCCCCGGAAAGACATGAACCCCAGTATTCAGGGTCACAACAGACATAGCTCTTGTCTGTGCTGTAGATGAGGATTGGGGCAGACAGACAGACGGACACATGCAGACGGAAACATTGCCATCCAAAACGAGTTCCTGTCTGTTGAACTATTTTAGCGTTACATATAAATCCTAGTCATAAGCTACAGGTACATAATCTGATGCAAGTAATTGTTTGTTATTAATATATGACAACGATCTAGGTGTAGAATGTTTCAAACTATATGTTTCAAACATGTATGTATGTATGTATGCATGTACTTATTTACTTATTTATTCATTTATGGAAGTTGTTGTTCTATCTTAAGATAACTAGGGTGTATCTGCTCAATGAGCAAAACTGATTATTTATGAAGAAATTCCACTGTCTAAATGTATATGATTGTAATGCATAAATGAGCACTTTTGAGTGAATTTTGGTGTTTATTCAGTATGTCACTTATATCGTAGTGTGGTAGATTAATGTTGGAGAAAGCAGGTGATGCAAGTATTGGCAGTTAACCTAGTTTCAGAGCACAGGAATGGCACTGACGTTAAAGTCAGGGCGAATATTGATTCAAAACTGAAATATATTGTTAGCGGTGGGTAATTCTGCTTCATATATATCATCTACATGCAGTTTCGAAAGGTACCCTGCATCGTGTCTGGTAATGTTACGTACAGTTTGTTGTTTACAGTTAATGTAAATCAGAATTATTTCATAGGTACATGTACTCCATTGTTGCACTGTCATCTTAGTAGCTATGTCCATAGTATACATGATGATTAGGACCCTTGAAGATCCGGTGTAGAATAGGTCTTCAGCAACCCATGCTTGCCGTAAAATGGTGACTATGCTTGTTGTAAGAGGCGACTAACGTGATCGGGTGGTCAGGCTCGCTGACTTGGTTGATGCATGTCATCGAGCCCAATTGCGTGGATCGATGCTCGATATATCAATCACTGGATTGTCTAGTCCAGACTCGATTATTTACAGACTGCCGGCATATAGTGCGGCGTTAAACAACAAACAAACATTTGGGGAAATGTAATGTTCACGAGTTGGCCAGAACCGTTTATATTGTTCTGCATGGTACTGATGGAAAAATACATATAAAATATATTCAAACATTTTATCTAGAATACTGTTTACCTTAAGGATAAGATGGCCAATAAATAGTTTGGCCCACAGCAACGTGCAGCATGGCTGACGCCATTTTTCGCAAATGCAAAAACACGAAAGCTCCAGGTTGTAATAAGAGTGACCTCCTTTTCCTATATGAACCACAGGTGATGTGGATTCGCCCTCTAAGCCATGTGAATAATTTGCACTCTGTGACAGGAGTAACAGACATAAGGGTTATGTCTAAATTGAGTGAGTGAGTGAGTCCTTACCGCAGTGGTTTTTATTTCTTTTTTAATGGTATAACATTGTCTTCATTACTGTCTTGCAAGGGTCCTCTAATACAACATCTAGTGGTTTTGTACATACATCATGCGTTTGTGTTATGAAGTGAATTGTTACTTTGACTTTTTTATCTTATAAAATATGGTTGGTTGGTTGGTTTGTTGTTTAACGCCGCACTATTACAGCTATATAACGGCGGTGTTATTTAACTCCGTTGTATATGGGCATGTGGCCTTTCATACAATAAAGAGAGTGAGTATGGTTTTATGCCGCTTTTAGCAAAATTCCAGCAATATCATGGGCTTCACACATTGTACCCATGTCGGGAATCGACAAGCGAACGCTTTAACCACTAGGCTACCCGACAGCCCCTACATGTATGTCCAAATTGAAACGCAGAGGTTAAAGAAATTGTTTCGCACAGACCTGAATTGTGACATCAGTAAATGACCACCCAAAATCAATCTATAATTCCGTGATCCCCCTCCCTGGTCTAGTGGTAGAGCGTCCGCCCGGAGATCGGAAGGTCCGGGGTTCGATCCCCGGCCGCGTCAGACGTTAAAACATGGTACTTGTTGATACCCTGTTGGGTATTCATGTTAAACTGCGGCATGGTATCTCAATGAGCTAGCACTATAAATCGGCATCAGTCCGGACTAGTACAAGCAGCCACACAAACACCCACACGTACATGCACGTCGCTATATAAGTGCAATAATCTTGGACGCGACGTTAAACCCCATTTCACCTCACCTCACCTCACAGATTAATGCGGGTGTATGGTATTAGACAATATCTAGCTCATGATGTCAATCACTGGTTATTGCTGAAATACTGCTGCATGCGGGGTTGAACAACATAAAACAATATAAGTACAATAAACAATAATTTTCTAAAAGTATAATTATTCAAACATGCGAACGAATGATTATGATTGACATACTTCTGAACACTAATCTACATAAGACTAAAACGGTGGAAGTATGGAACATTACCCTTTGGTCCTGTATGAAGCTCGGCAATACTGCAGACATATGACTCAATTACTTAAAATACCCGTGACTGACTGAGTATGGTTTTACGCCGCTTTTAGCAATATTCCAGCAATATCAAGGCGGGGGACACCAGAAATGGGCTTCACACATTGTACCACTGTGGGGAATAGAACCCGGGTCTTCGGCGTGACGAGCGAACGCTTTAACCACTATGCTACCTGACAGCCCCTACATATCCGTGAAGATCCGGGGTACAAAAGGTCTTCAGCAACCGATGTATGCCCTCAAAAGCGCCTGCATGTCGTAAGAGGCGACGCTAGCTGGTTACGCTAGCTGACATGGTTGAGGCATGTCATGGTATCCCAATTACGTGGATCGATGCTCATGAAGTCACTCGTCGTTAAAGCGTTCGCTCTTCACGCCGAAGACCCGGGTTCGATTCCCGACATGGATACAATGTGTGAAGCCAATTTCTTGTGTCCCCCGCCGTGATATTGCCGGAATATTGCTAAAGGCGGCGTAAAACCAAATTCACTCACTTACCCACTCTGGCTGAGCCATTCTTGAAGCACTCGAGAAGTGAATAAGTAACAGGAGTAGCAGAAGTAGTAACAAAAGTAGCAGGAGTAGCAGAAGTAGTAACACAAGTAGCAGGAGTAGCAGAAGTAGTAACACAAGTAGCAGGAGTAGCAGAAGTAGTAACACAAGTAGCAGGAGTAGCAGAAGTAGTAACACAGGTAGTAGGAGTAGCAGAAGTAGTAACACAAGTAGCAGGAGTAGCAGAAGTAGTAACACAAGTAACAGAAGTAGCAGAAGTAGTAAGATAAGTAGCAGAAGTAACAGAAGTAGCTGAAGTAGCAACAGAAGTAGCAGAAGTAGTAACACAAGTAACAGAAGTAACACAAGTAGCAGAAGTAGTAACATAAGTAACATAAGTAGCAGGAGTAGCAACAGAAGTAGTAACACAAGTGGCAGGAGTAGCAACAGGAGAAACACAAGTAGCAGGAGTAGCAACAGAAGTAGCAGAAATTGCAACAGAAGTAGCAGAAGTAGTAACACAAGTAGCAGGAGTAGTAACACAAGTAGCAGACGTTGTAACACAAGTAGCAGGAGTAGTAACACAAGTAGCAGGAGTAGTAACACAAGTAGCAGGAGTAGTAACACAAGTAGTAACACAAGTAGCAGGAGTAGTAACACAAGTAGCAGGAGTAGCAGCAGGAGTAGCAAGAGTAGTAACACAAGTAGCAGGAGTAGCAGGAGTAGTAACACAAGTAACAGGAGTAGTAACACAAGTAACAGGAGTAGCAACATAAGTAGCAGGAGTAGCAGGAGTAGTAACACAAGTAGCAGGAGTAGTAACACAAGTAACAGGAGTAGTAACACAAGTAACAGGAGTAGCAACAGGAGTAGCAGGAGTAGTAACACAAGTAGCAGGAGTAGTAACACAAGTAACAGGAGTAGCAACATCAGTAGCAGGAGTAGCAGGAGTAGTAACACAAGTAGCAGGAGTAGTAACACAAGTAACAGGAGTAGTAACACAAGTAACAGGAGTAGCAACAGGAGTAGCAGGAGTAAAAACACAACTAGCAGAAGTAGTAACACAAGTAGCATGAGTAGTAACAGAAGTAGCAGAAGTAGTAACACAAGTAGCAGGAATAGTAACAGAAGTAACAGGAGTAGCAACACAAGTAGCAGGAGTAGTAACACAAGTAGCAGGAGAAGCAGCAGGAGTAGCAGGAGTAGTAACACAAGTAGCAGGAGTAGCAACAGAAGTAGCAGGAGTAGTAACAGAAGTAGCAGAAGTAGTAACAAAAGTAGCAGGAGTAGCAACACAAGTAGCAGAAGTAGTAACACAAGTAACAGAAGTAGTAACACAAGTAGCAGGAGTAGCAACATGAGTAGCAGGAGTAGTAACACAAGTAACAGGAGTAGGAACAGGAGTAGCAGGAGTAGTAACACAAGTAGTAGAAGTAGTAACACAAGTAGCAGGAGTAGCAACACAAGTAGCAGAAGGAGTAACACAAGTAGCAGAAGTAGCAACAGGAGTAGCAGGAGTAGTAACACAAGTAACAGGAGTAGCAGAAGTTGTAACACAAGTAGCAGAAGTAGTAACACAAGTAACAGGAGTAGCAACAGCAGTAGCAGGAGTAGTAACACAAGTAGCAGGAGTAGTAACACAAGTAGCAGGAGTAGTAACACAAGTAGCAGGAGTAGCAACATGAGTAGCAGGAGTAGTAACACAAGTAACAGGAGTAGTAACACAAGTAACAGGAAAAGCAGCAGGAGTAGCAGAAGTAGTAACACAAGTAGCAGGAGTAGCAACACAAGTAGCAGAAGTATAAACACAAGTAACAGGAGTAGCAACACGAGTAGCAGGAGTAGTAACACAAGTAGAAGGAGTAGTAACACAAGTAGCAGGAGTAGTAACAGAAGTAGCAGGGGTAGCAACATGAGAAGTAGGAGTAGTAACACAAGTAACAGGAGTAGCAGAAGTAGTAACACATGTAGCAGGAGTAGTCACATAAATAACCGGAGTAGCAACAGGAGTAGCAGGAGTAGTAACACAAGTAGCAGGAGTAGTAACACAAGTAACAGGAGTAGTATAATAAGTAACATGAGTAGTAACACAAGTAGCCGGAGTAGTAACACAAGTAGCCGGAGTAGCAACAGGAGTAGCAGGAGTAGTAACACAAGTAGCAGAAGTAGTAACACAAGTAACAGAAGTAGTAACACAAGTAACAGGAGTAGTAACACAAGTAAAGGGAGTAGCAGAAGTAGTAACACAAGTAGCAGGAGTAGCAACAGGGGTAGCAACAGAAGTAGCAGGAGTAGAACAGAAGTAGCAGAGGTAGTAACACAAGTAGCAGGAGTAGCAACAGAAGTAGCAGGAGTAGCAACAGAAGTAGCAGAAGTAGTAACACAAGTAGCAGGAGTAGCAACAGAAGTAGCAGGAGTAGCAACAGAAGTAGCAGAAGTAGTAACACAAGTAACAGGAGTAGCAGAAGTAGTAACACAAGTAGCAGGAGTAGCAACAGAAGTAGCAGAAGTAGTAACACAAGTAGCAGGAGTAGCAACAGAAGTAGCAGGAGTAGCAACAGAAGTAGCAGAAGTTGTAACATGAGTACAGAATAGATAGAACTGGTGACAAGAGTAGCAGACACTGTAGAAGAAACATACCAGCAGAGGTAGTAGGGCAGTGAATGAGTGGAGTGAATCCTGTTTTACGGTGCAGTAAGCAGTATACTAGCTGTGTCACGGCGGGGTGTAACGGGGGTGAAGCCAGTGGTTGAATCATGTTTGCGCTGGGTTCGATGACACATGTTCGATTACAAATAGCCGAGACTTGAAATATGTGAGCCTCTGTTTATCTTCGAAAACTCATTCTTCCAACTTTCTCAGTTTCCAAACAGTCGTAACCGGCGTCCTGGGGGGAAATGAGGTGAGGTGAGGTGAAATGGGGTTCAACGTCGCGTCCAAGATTATTGCACTTATATAGCGACGTGCATGTACGTGTGTGTGTGTTTGTGTGGCTGCTTGTATTATACTAGTCCGGACTGATGCCGATTTATAGTGCTAGCTCACTGAGATACCATGCCGCAGTTTAACATGAATACCCCGCTCAGACACAGTATACTGACCCCAAGCCAGTCCTTGTTTTAGCCCCTTAATGCCGAGCGCCAGACAGGGTAACAACAAGTACCATCTTTTAACGTCTTTTGGTATGACGAGGCAGGGGATCCAACCCCGGACCTTCCGCTCTCCGGGCGGACGCTCGACCACTAGACCACGGAGGCGGTCTTTGGGGGAAATGATGCAGCTAACCAGCTTCAGTAGCTTAGACATTTGCCATGTCATTTGATTGTGACGGCATGGTAACCAAAGATGTCACAATGGTCTAAAAGGCAATGTAAAGCAATTCTATTTCCTCAAAGCGATATCTACCGCGGAAGTCTGTCTTGGCCACACACAATTATGTTATTACCTATACAGTAAACTACGGATATAACGAACTCAAAGGGACCACTAATTTGAATTCGTTTTAACCGTAGTTCGGTATAAGCATATATACAGCATATATGCAGCAAATGAGTGAGTGAGTGAGTATAGTTTTACACCGCTTTTAGCAATATTCCAGCAATATCACGGCTGGGGACACCAGAAATGGGCTTCACACATTGTACCCATGTCGGGAATCGGGTCTTCGGCGTGACGAGCCAACGCTATAACCACTAGGCTACCCGACCGCCCCTGCAGCAAATGAACGGGACCCCAAAACAGTTCGTTATATCCGTCCGTTCGCAAAAGGGTTTCATTATAAACGTAGCTTAATGTATTTTCCATCAGGAGCAAGTGGAAAATTAGGAAATGTAGGACCAACATTAATAACAGTATCTGAAGGTGTACATGCTACAGAAATGCGAGATGTGAATATTTGAAACTTTATGAAAGGTATTCATACATCAGGCGTTAACGGTGACAAAACCAAGGCTCCTTTTCTTGCAACAACTGCAAACGTCGGGTAAATCTGAATTTGTCCACTAAATATTCGATCGATAGTGTAAAATATATCCTGGTTATTTACTGTTCATGGTACATTGTTAACATACTTCACACTCTCTGTTATCAGCTGTCTGGCACTCTCAGTTCACGGTGACCCGTTAGGAAATAGGAAAACATCGCCTCATGTATAACTGAATGTTATTCGGATGTGATAATGACAATGTTGTGTCAGCAGTATTATAATTTCTGAGGTTACTTCACGAATCGAACTGTAGTATGGTTTGGTTTGTTGTTTTACGCCGCACTCAGCAATATTCCAGCTATATGACGGCGGTCTGTTAATAATCGAGTCTGGACCAGACAATCCAGTGATTGACATCATGAACATAAATCCACGCAATTGGGATCGATGACATGCATCAACCAAGTCAGCGAGCCTGACCACCCGATCCCGTTAGTCGCCTTTTACGACAAGCATAGTCGCCTTTTACGGCAAGCATGGGTTGCTGAAGATCTATTCTATCCCGGATCTTCACGGGTCAGGGTATGATCGTGTTTTGGGGTTGAGGTTAGGTGTGGGGTAGAGATCGAGGTAAGGGGTTATTGGTAGAGGTAAAAGTAGATGTTTGTTTGTTTGTTGTTTAACGCAGCACTTAGCAATATTCCAGCTATATGACGGCGGTCTGTAGATAATGGAGTCTGGACCAGACAATCCAGTGATTGACATCATGAGCATCGATCCACGCAATTGGGATACGATGACGTGTATCAACCAAGTCAGCGAGCCTGACCACCTGATCCTGTTAGTCGCCTCATTTACGGCAAGCATGGGTTGCTGAAGACCTATTCTACCCGTGATCTTGACGGGTCATATGATATAAATAAACAATCATATTTATTACTGAATATAAAAATATGATCGTTTTTTCACATCCTGTTGCAACCAATATTTACAGAAAACTGACTTATTGCTAACAGTAGAGTTGAACTGCAAGGCATCATAAACATGTTTAAATATTAATTCTTGACATATATCACATCCGCAGTGGGGCCCAAATGCGCAATAAAACTTTGGGGAAAAGGTAAATGCGGAAGTTAAAACGGCTTACAAACTAACACGCATTCATGTTTTAAACTGATAACATTCGTACATTTCATACCTGTGTGCAAGCAAGTCCAGACTCGATTACTTACAGCCCGCCGTCATATAGCTGGAATATTGTTGAGTGCGGCGTTAAACAACATACAAAAAAACGAACAAACAAACACATACGCTAAAAAACTGGATATGGAGTATATCAGTAATGTACGTTTTTCTTCCGACTTGTGTCAACAGTATACGTGATAGTAAGGACGTAAGTGGCTTATGAGGAGACATTCAGAGGCTCTCGCTGTCGCATATGCACTCAACGCCTTTTTGAACGAGATCGGGCCGTTCTCCGCAGTGCTGGTGCAGACCCACAGCTATATATTTAGCACAGTTTTGTCCCAGCTGCATGCCGGTTGTACAGTGTGGTTACTGATAGCAACAGGCTGCGACTACCGCGTGACATGCACCCCTTTCTACTTCGACAGATATTACTTCCTGGTCGTATTGACTCGGGGCTCACCATACGCAATAGACAAAACACGGGCTGTGTACTCGCGGGCAGATGACCACGGAGTACGCTGATCACTGTGTCGGATTAACGAGACTGATTAATGAGTGACTTCGGTAATTCGTTGCAAATTAGGTGTGTCGGAGTCTGAGTGCGAGACTGTCGGAATAACGGGTCAAGATGGCACTGATCCACTCGGTTCCCAACAGTCGTGGCGGATAAACCCGATTGTCGGATTAACGAGTGTCGGATTAACGAGACTTGACTGTAAGTGGATTATACTTATTTGTAATTATCACATGATCACAACTCCACGTCGGCTTGCATTTGGGATTAAATAGGACAGTGTGTAGTCTGATATAAACGCAGTCCCGGTGTAAAATATGATTGTGAAAACGAAACTTGATAAGGACAGTGTAACAGTGTGGCAGTACTAATTATGTTTGTTGGGTGCCGTGTTACAGAATGGCGAAGTTCAGCAGGAAAATGAAATTAAATCAAGGGTATTGTAGTGATCGTAGGTTTCCGGAGGTCTTCGGAAAGGTTCGAGTTGGTCGTTCCGTGGCTGACCGCGGGAGACCCCAGATTCAGTGAGTTGTCAGCCATCGTTGTGAGTAAACCAGGTCGAGAACCCAGCTCAATGCAGTATTGACTTAGATACTGACTTGACTAACTGACAGCCCTTGTACGTGAGTAGAAAACAAGGTTTGTGAAACCGAGATATCGTTTTCACAACAGTGGCGCTGTGAACACATCGAATTTTTAGGGAAAATATTTTTTTCCGAATTCGTCGACTGCTCGACATTGCCGCCACGCCGTCGCCATCTTGCTTTTCTTGGCTACAGTTGGTTGGTTGGTTTGTTGTTTAACGCCGCACTCAGCAATATTCCAGCTATATAACGGCGGTCTGTAAATAATCGAGTCTGGACCAGACAATCCAGTGATTGACAACATGAGCATCGATCCACGCTGTTAGGATCAAGGACATGCATCAACCAAGTCAGCGAGCCTGACCACCCGATCCCGTTAGTCGCCTTTTACGACAAGCATAGTCGCCTTTTAAGACAAGCATGGGTTGCTGAAGACCTATTCTACCCCGGAATCTTCACGGGTCTCTTGGCTACAGGGACAAGAGGGATATTTGGCTAAAGTTGAATGAAACTTTAGCATTTTGCGACGAGTGGAAACATTTTTCGCCCGGTTAGTACCGTGCGACATTGTAGTAGTAATTTCTTTTCACAGCCTGTTCCGTATCGGCTGGTAAATTTATAGTTCAACGCACGTGGAAATCAGCGTGCGTTGATCAAGTACGTCCGTTTTCGTGGCTGTGCACAATAATTAATAATTAGGGAACAGTAGCGTATCAGAAATTCATGTTCTTATATCAATTTTGACCCTTTCACATGCGTAGTTGTGTTTGACAATTGGTGACAGCTCGTTACGGATGTTTGTTGACTTTGCCTCGAGAGTGTCACCCACTTTCGTCACGGACGTATAAGTTCGTGAGTTGGTATGTCATAACAAATAGCGTAGGTGTTTAGTGTAAGGGGAAGTAGGAATAGTATTGTTATTTTCATTAGGATTCAGGGCAAATAGTTGTCTGGATATATTGTATTATTGTTCATTGCTCGGTGTGTTTTTCCAAAGTATTCTACACACTGTTGGAAGATGGAGGAAAAGGGAATGAGAGTCAATTATGCCACTTGGTTTCAACTATGTGAAATCCAAGGGATTGATATAGGACTGGCGCAGAGGATCATAGACCGGAGAAGTGTGGTGGGCAATCTCATCCTGGATGATGTCCGCAGTTTAGAGGGATTTGATGACAGGGACGAGGTGGTGAGCCAGTTAGACTTTGCCATAAACCCCGACCATGGCAACAGGCGAAGGAACCATACCGAGAGGATGGAGGATCAGCATGTGCAACAGCTGGAGACAAATCCATACGACTGGATGCAGGAGGGTGGAGATGACCAGGCCGAAGGGGGAATGGCACAGACCCAGACACATCCGAGGGGTTGGGAAGTTATGGTGAGACTGTTGGACCATCAGAAAAACATGGCAGAGGCTCAGGAAAGGAGACTATCAGAGATGCTGGCAGCCCAGGCTGAAACTAGCTTGCAGATAGTCAAGGCGTTGGCTAATTTGGCTCCCACACTACAAAACCCGGGCAAGAGTAACTCGGGCCTGCAGCAAGACAGGCCGGCACTTATGAATCCGTCGCGGGAAATAGTTACCAGTATCCAAAGGGGACCACGGGTTCACCCGGAACCGAGGTTGGACGACAGCCCACAAAGACAGTACCACCCTTCTTTAAGAGCACAGGGGAGCGAGTATAGTGGGGAGGCGGTTTCTCCCGGGAAAGCACCGCAAGTAAAAAATGAGCCTGTAACGCCGATCCCACCGGTGCCGAGGGAACAGGACTAAAGATTGCCGCCACCTGCGCTCTCGACTTACAGCACTGTAGGGGGTGGACAGGGGGCGCTAGTCAAGGACACACAACACAAGCTATTGTTGCAGAGTGTGGATTATCTGACCACGGAGCAGAACCGGAAACATGCTCGAGGATCGCCACAGGGAGGTACTCCCCAGTTTCAATCGGACAGTTCTGGCGAGTATGGGAACTCAAGCCTGTACCAGCACAAAGGGACCCCAAACAAGGGAGCCAATTGGGGCCACAGCTCACCCTCTAACTCCCGGCGAGCTTGGATGCACATGGTGTGAATCCATCCACTTGGGATTACCCTTTGCCCAAGCAAGTGAACAGCTACCAATCAGCAACTGACCACAAGGCGCACCGGATCCCAAGGTGGTCAAGCAGGAACCAACTGATAGTGAGAAGACCACGCGGGACAGAGGACTTAACAGAAGAGGCCCCGATAGAAGAGATTCGGATGGTCGGGGCGACCAGGACCGGGCCACCGTGGATAGGTATCAAGCAGAGGAAAGTGACGTGGATGAGCGAGAGGACCATCGAGAACCTAGCCGCAAGGGTGATGGAGTTAGACGGGATAGGGGCGTGAATAGAGGTCCAGTTCGCAGAGGCTCCGAACGACGGGAAGGAGCAAGAGACCAGCCCCAACGCCATAGTACCCCTAACCTAACATATGACGGAAGATCTGGTTGGTCAGGTTTTTACCTCAAATTCCAAACATTGGCCCGCAGAGAGGGTTGTTGGGAACAGGAGAAAAAAGATCAACTCACGTTAGTGATGCGAGACGTGGCAAGTGACTATATTACTATGTGCCTGGACCGGGACCCGGACTTGTCCTTTGAGGATATGGTGTTTAAACTACAAAAACGGTTTGAACGCAGTGAACTTTCGGAGACGGCACAGATACGATTCCCTACCATGAGGCAAGAGGGGGGAGAGACATTAGAAGACTGGGCACAGTGATTATTGGCCACGGCTGTGGTAGCTTTCAGGGATTGTCCAGACCAGTTCATCGATCATCAGGTGATAATGCGTCTCTGCCAAGGATGCGAAAACAAGGAGGCTGGACAATTCATCTCTAACATGAAACCAGGGACCCTGGAGGTCGCCATTGCAAGCTTACGCCAATACCAGCATAATACACAGGCAGTGTATGGAAGGGCCCGTCGGGAGATACGACAGGTCGCTACAGACACATCACTACTACCAGAAACACGGGTGAAGGTGGTTCAAGCCTTGAGTCCCAAGTCATCGGGTAGTTCTGGTGATTCTGGCACAGAGATAACAGGGAGACTGGAAGCTGTGGAACAGAAAGTCAGTAGCCTCACCCTGTTTGCAGAGGAAACCAGGACCTTTATGAATGAAACCAGGACCTCTATAAAAGAGATCAGGACTTCTATGGAGGAAATCAAGACTATGGTCACGAAGCTGGCGGAGAATGTGAACAGTAGAGGACGTCAAAGGTCTCCGAGCCCAAGCGGACGCACTAAGGGATGCTTTATCTGTGGAGTTGAGGGGCATTTCAAGGCAGATTGTCCCCGCAAGAGCCCCAGCGAGCAGAGAAAGGTGTCCTTTGTAGAGCCGTCTGGGGGCGTGACTTAAATCATGTACGGGGAGGGCGGACAGGCCAGAATCCCTCCCCCACATCTCACGCAGGTCGACCAGACACCAAGGGACCACCTCCATGGCCACCAGACACAACAATAGAGCCGGCGCTGCTGGTTCATGACATACCGGATGGGGAACTTAAGCAGGTGAGAACCAGCAGCTTATCTACAATGCCTCATTGGACATTCGACAGGGACAGACCACCTCCATGGCCACCAGACATAGCAATGGAGACGGTGTCACTGGTTCATGACACACCGAGGGGAACAAACAGAGTCTCCACATTGCCTCATAGGACATTCGACAGGGACAGACCACTTCCCTGGCCGGCGCCAACAGCAAACAAGCCGGTGCCTCTGATGCACAAATCACCGGACAAAGAGCACAAGCCGGCAAGAACCAGCCAAGACTCACACAGTGAGCCGGTACAATTGAAGCCAGGAGAATCACCCAGACTTAGCAAAGGCAGAGAGATTGACATAGAGACAGGGCTTCCAATGATTACAATCCATGCCCTTAACCAAGGCGCCTCCTACACGATCAAAGTGGATTTTCAAGGTGTGAACACAGTGGGAATAGTGGACAGTGCGGCTGATGTAACCCTTATTGCGGATACTTTCTTTGATGGGCTATCAGACAAACCAGTCCTAGTGCAGGAGGTCATGGTAAACAATGCAGGGAGAGACCTGAGGATGAGAGGATGGGTAACAGAGCCGGCCAGGCTGCGAATTCACGGCAGGACGTATAGGCAAGAAGTCTTGGTAGCCCCAATCGGAGACTCGCTAATCTTGGGAACAGACTTCCTGATGAACAACTGCACTAATATCAGTTTCGAGTATCAAAACATCACCATCGGGGGAAATGTCCCAATTATCATCACGGGACGATTGGATAAAAAAATAGAACAATACATGGTGGAGCCTGTCCTGGGAGTCCTGGCACACGACCTGATGCCTCGGACCATACACCAGGGGGGAGCAGAGTCAGTTGTGTGCCTCATCAACACCTCTGATAGACACATTAAGTTCTTCCACGGTCAAGTGGGTGTAGCGTCTGAAGCTGAGGTTATTGTGCTGGAATATGAGACAACAATGACAAGGTGTAGAATGGATAAGAGTCCGTATCAGTGCAGAGTCACAGGGATAGCGGATCCAGTGGAAGAGATGGGGATGCCAGTGGTCCCACCTCATTTGACAGACTTATTTGAACGTTCCAAGGTTCATTTGGAGGATGACGATAGGCGCCAGTTGGCAGAACTTCTGATTGAATTCCATGACGTGTTCGCCCGGGACGAGCTTGACCGGGGTGACTTCTCAGCCATAAAACATTCCATAGACACCGGGGATGCCAAGCGGTTGAGACGCACACATCTCGGTTTCGCAGAAGAAGAGGAGGAACATCTCAAGAAGATGCTGAAGGGAGGCGTCATCCAGCCTTCAAGCTCGGAGTGGGCCTCGGCGCCAGTGTTAATCCGCAAGAAATGTGGAGGTGTGCGCTGGTGCATAGATTTTCGCTCGCTTAATGCCAGGACTCGAAAGACGTCTTCCCTCTGCCCTTGATCGACGAGTGCCTCGACACATTAGCAAACAGCACTTGGTTTTCGAAATTACTTGCCAACTCTGCCTACTGGCAAGTCAGGATTAAAGAGGAAGACAGGAGGAAAACCGCATTTGTCACGAAATACGGCCTCTACGATCACATAAGGATTGGTTTCGGATTGTGCAACGCTCCAGCCACCTATGCCCGGGTGATGTCACTTATACATGGATGGTTGAGTTGGGACATGGTCCTAGCATTCTAAGATGACACAGTGGTAAATGGCATCACCATCCCTCAGCACTTTGAGAATCTACGGACTGTTTCGAGACGATTCCGAGAATAACCGCCTAAAACTAAAGCCAAAGAAGTGCAAACTCTTCCAGCAGAAAATAGAGTTTCTAGGGAGAACCGTCAGTCGTGATGGAGTGGAGGTGAACAACGCTAGTCTGGGAGTAGTCGTGGAATGGCCAGCCCCTAAGACGACAAAGGAAACAGAGAGCTTCCTGGGATTTGCGAACTACCACAGAAACTTTATCAAGGGTTATGCCAAGGTAGCGGCCCCTCTGTATTCAATCACTGGGAAGAAGCCCTTCAACTGGGGACCAGATCAGGAGATTAGCTTTGAAACCCTCAAACAGGCTCTGTTGTCTACACACCTAATTAGGAGGGAGGGGTGGTCACACCCTCCACGCCTCAGCCTACACCCCATAAATTCACCAGCTTGTCTAATGTACTGGAGGGTGCTGGCATTGCTCATGAATGCACTCACCCCATCCCAGGTTGACGCGTTCCGGACTTTCCTACAGCCCGTGGCATCCAGAGCCATTCCAAAACCCTTGGAAACAGCCTCAAAACCGGAGTCCTCGGAAAATTGGGACCAGGAACTTTCCAGTACTGGTGAAGAGGTGTGAATTCTCATGGATCTGGAGGCCCGAGAGTGGCAAGAGACGGGTGAGGGCACTGTACAGACAATCGTGTCTTCCGACTATACTTGGAGATGGGAGTCCAGCATGTCACCCACAGAAGAGGGCACAGCAATATCACGGCGGGGGACACCAGAAATGGGCTTCACACATTGTACCCATGTCGGGAATCGAACCCAGGTCTTCGGCGTGACGAGCGAACGCCTTACCCACTAGGCTACCCGACCACCCCAGTATCCATTTAAAGTTTCATAATATATACAGTAGTTACTGAACATCGAATATATATCTCGATAAATAAAATCTATATACTGAAACCAACATCATAAATCGATTAATGCAAATAACTTCTGGTTGCGGGTTCTGAAATGATGTGGGTATACACATCAGGCCTATCTTATAATCGTCAACCTACGGGTCATTGCAATTGACCCTTACTTACGGGTGACATTTGGAGGTTGACCAATCGTTGGGGCATGAGTGAGTGAGTGAGTTGGATATAACGCCGCTTTTAACATTATACCAGTTATATCACGGCGTGCCAGCTTTACGTCGGAGGACAGCCCGAAGTGATACAGATCTCAGCCGTTTACCACTTCGGTGAAACCCACGAACACGGGTATGGTGCTGACAAACCTAGAAACATAATCGGGGCGAACCGGGATTCGAACCCACAATCATAGGTTTCTGGCATGCCCAAGGGACCAACTCTGCAAAGCGAATAGCGGTGCCTTAGACGACTGGGTCACCCGTGCCCCCTACGAATTGTACATTATGAATATATCAATAATTGAAGTACACATATATCAATGGAAATATTAAACATAGGAATATATTTTTATATGTACATATCTTCAGTAGGGTGGAAACAACAACAATAGATTAATTTGTGGAAGGGGGGAATATCACTTGAATTGGTATTGCAATACCAATACTGTTTTGATCCTCGGAGAAAACAGTGCTTTTCAAAACATTTTCTGATAAGATCAGGTAATCAAATGAATGCATCAAACAGCAGCCTGTGAAATATATAGCTGTACATATATTTTTATATCTTAATACAATTGCATAATAATGCCAAAAGAAATTATGATGATGAGGATGGTGATGACGATGATGATGGGGATGATGGTGATGATGATGATGATGATGATGATGTCCGTTTTATTTACTTCAGAACTGACGACAACTGTAAAGTCAGGGTGCAGTGGCTGGCTGAACAATTGGGAGTGTGTGTCAAAGAGAGTAGAACTAGCCACTGACAGAAGACAACGTAGAACAATGGACTCTTCAGGTGACACAAATAAGGAAGAGAGACCTGAACCCCTGACACGATCCACGACTGAAGGGAGATATAATGAGGATGATCCTGCGGATGAGCACCCGCATCAAGGAGTGATCCGGCCTCCATGTCCTGGTACTGGAGAAACAGGTGCTCAACTGCAGGGAACACAGCCGTCAACATTGAGACGAGTTATACAATTTGTGCTACCAGCTGTCCTCTGTGGAGCTCACAGTGTCCTTACAGATGCCTTGCCACCTTTTATACCACATGTCAATGTCACAGAAAACTGTATCTCTAATGACCAGCACCGTAGGCCTGATGAAAGTCATAAAGTGGACAGAACAACAGATACCCTGACTGGTGAAAGTGATGCCATGGACAGAACATCAGACAACCTGACTGTTGAAAGTGATACCATGGACAGAACAACAGACAGCCTTACTGGTGAAAGTGATACCATGGACAGAACAACGGATACCCTGACTGGTGAAAGTGATACCATGGACAGAACAACAGATACCCTGACTGGTGAAAGTGATGCCATGGACAGAACAACAGACAACCTGACTGTTGAAAGTGATACCATGGACAGAACAACAGACAGCCTGACTGGTGAAAGTGATACCATGGACAGAACAACAGATACCCTGACTGGTGAAAGTGATACCATGGACAGAACAACAGATACCCTGACTGGGGAAAGTGATAACCTGGACACAACAACAGACAACCTGCATGGTGAAAGTGATACCATGGACAGAACAACAGAGAACCTGACTGGTGAAAGTGATACCATGGACAGAACAACAGATAACCTGACTGGTGAAAGTGATACCATTGACAGAACAACAGACAACCTGACTGGTGAAAGTGATACCATTGACAGAACAACAGACAACCTGACTGGTGAAAGTGATAACCTGGAGAGAATATCAAACAACCTGACTGGTGAAAGTGATACCATTGACAGAATAACAGACAACCTGCATGGTGAAAGTGATACCATGGACAGAACATCAGACAACCTGACTGGTGAAAGTGATAACCTGGACAGAACATCAGATAACCTGACTGGTGAAAGTGATACCATGGACAGAACATCAGATAACCTGACTGGTGAAAGTGATACCATGGACAGAACATCAGACAACCTGACTGGTGAAAGTGATACCATGGACAGAACAACAGACACCCTGACTGGTGAAAGTGATACCATAGACAGAACAACAGACAACCTGACTGGTGAAAGTGATACCATGGACAGAACAACAGATAACCTGACTGGTGAAAGTTATAACCTGGACACAACAACAGGCAGCCTGACTGGTGAAAGTGATACCATGGACAGAACATCAGACAGCCTGACTGGTGAAAGTGATACCATGGACAGAACAACAGACAACCTGCATTGTGAAAGTGATACCATGGACAGAACAACAGACAACCTGACTGGTGAAAGTGATACCATAGGCAGAACAGAAGACAGCCTGACTGGTGAAAGTGATACCATGGACAGAACATCAGACAGCCTGACTGGTGAAAGTGATACCATGGACAGAACATCAGACAACCTGCATTGTGAAAGTGATACCATGGACAGAACAACAGACAACCTGACTGGTGAAAGTGATACCATAGGCAGAACAGAAGACAACCTGACTGGTGAAAGTGATACCATGGACAGAACAACAGATACCCTGACTGGTGAAAGTGATACCATGGACAGAACAACAGACAACCTGACTGGTGAAAGTGATACCATGGACAGAACAACAGATAACCTGCATGGTGAAAGTGATACCATGGACAGAATATCAGACAACCTGACTGGTGAAAGTGATAACCTGGACAGGTCAACAGACAGCCTGACTGGTGAAAGTGATACCATAGACAGAACAACAGACAACCTGACTGATGAAAGTGATACCATGGACAGAACAACAGACAACCTGACTGGTGAAAGTGATACCATAGACAGAACAACAGACAGCCTGACTGGTGAAAGTGATACCATGGACAGAACAACAGACAACCTGACTGGTGAAAGTGATACCATGGACAGAATATCAGACAACCTGACTAGTGAAAGTGATACTATGGACAGAATATCAGACAACCTGACTGGTGAAAGTGATAACCTGGACAGGTCAACAGACAGCCTGACTTGCGGAACTGATACCATGGACAGAACAACAGACAACCTGACTGGTGAAAGTGATACCATGGACAGAATATCAGACAACCTAACTGGTGAAAGTGATAACCTGGACAGGTCAACAGACAGCCTGACTGGTGGAACTGATAACTTGAACAGAGGAATGGTTAAATTAGCCGAGATCGAGAGAAGAGATCACACTGTCCGTAGTGCAAATCTGTCTTCTGACGATCAAGCCTCTTCCCGCCAAGCAGTCATTGAAATTGGAGAAAATAGTTATAGAGACACTGGGTCTTCTGCTTTAAAGGTCATACAACCAAATCAACAGCCCAGAGAACGATGTCTCACTAATACCAATCTTCCAATATCAAACACGTTAGCAAACTCACAGGTGCCGTCTCTCCATGCTTCAAGGAAACATGTTCCAGGTTTTCAGACATCACCTATCACTGAAACAAAGGAGGGAGCTTCACTGACGACTGAAGGCCTTTCATTCATAAAAGCTCCATCATCTAGCCAAACAACACCAGAGAAAAAACCGAGGCGTCAGCCTGTGCCATCAGAAAATCAGGAAGCAATAGGTGGGAAGATAATGCTTCTGCAGTCGATATAAGTTATTGTAGTATTTCTGAAGTCATATTCATGGAAGGAAAGAGAGTTAACTGACTTTAAAAGTCCAGTTTCCATCCTTGCCGAACTGGGCTGGAATTCCTCGGCTCGATCGTAGCGCCAGCAGTGGCTATTACGAGTTATGTCCTTTCTATGCCTCTCCTATTGACCAATCAGATTCAACCTCTCGTATTACTTGCATTTGCTTTAAACAAAACGGTGGCGCCCAGTCAAGACGGTCTGATTAATAATCAAGATCTATATTGTGATAAAACGAGTCTTACATTGCGAAGTGCATTAAACCACGTGAGCACCTTGATTAAAAGCATGAAAAGATTTAGAAAATATCTGGTGACAAGGATTTAGCGGTGCACATGCTTTCCTGCAGTCGACCGAAATCTGCATGACACTTTACAAACCAGATTTCGATTTCGGTGCACGATTTTGATTGGACTATGCATAGACTCGTTAGTCCAGCCAAAATGTAACTCCATAATACCAGCCTAGTTCGGCAAGGTTGAAACTGGACTTTTATAGTCAGTTAACTCACTTGCCTCGGGGAGATGTATTCATTTTGTTATCAGACATACATGTGCTCAAAGGACAAAAGTTATATTTTTGGCAATTATTTGTATTAACCCGCATTACCGTTTGCTCAAACCATACAAAAACACAACTTAAAAGGCGTGGATTGAAATAGGGTTTTATGCCCTGTAGCATAACCTCATTTGACTTAAATGTCAATTCTTTATCTTGAGGTTTTGATTAATGTCATATGTGAAATCGAGAGACTACCTCTGTTTAATATACGATATGTATTGCAGGATTTCTGTGTTTGAAATAACTTGCCGGGACTACAAGTACAAACTGATTGAAGTCTAGTTCCATTTAACAAGTACTAGTATTTCAGCATTGACATAACATCAATATTTGTTTCGTTAAATGCTTTATTACAAATACGTAACAATACATCTAGTCATGATTTGTCTTTAGAATTTTACATATTTACATATAGAATGCTTAATTCACAAATACGTTTCACATCTCAACACATCTCATTTGTCTGTAATATTTAATTTTTTCATTTGCTTCCAGGTCAACGTTTTAAGAACATCTGTGGTGAGTAGTTTCAAAGTGTGTGAGTGAGTTGAGTCTAACGCCACTTTCCGTGACAGTATTTTTTTTCACCGTGTGTCAAGTTAGCCAAAGTAATGTAGATCCTAGACATTTACCACTTTGAAAAACAGTTGAACCTGGTTATAGTGCTGACAAACCAAGACTTATGTCGGTGGCGAATCTCGGATTCGAACCAACGGTCATAAGATTGAATCTCTATGCTAATTTGAGCAGAGGATTTTGAAAGTATTTTCTCAGAAATGTAAAGTGTTTTTGTTTTGGTTTGTTTGTTGTTTAACGCCACACTCAGCAATATTCCAGCTATATGACGGCGGTTTGTGAATAATCGAGTCTGGACCAGACAATCCAGTGATTGGTATCATGAGCATCGATCCACGCAATTGGGATATTGCTAATGTCAAAGCCAAAATCAATTAACACAACCTTAATATTGTAATATCATAGAATGATCAATGTACCATGTCCAGGGGCCGTAGTTATAAACATCCTCAGAATTAAAAGTTACACGTGAATGAAGAAACAAATGATGATACCAAATCCTAATCTCAGCCTGAACAGCACTCGAAGTTTTAAATATAGCACAGGTTCCCCCTGGTTACAAGAAATGTCCAAACTAACAGTCATCTCACAGCTGTTACAATAAAAGCAACAAGAAACGTTCTACATTCAAAATAAATCTCTCAGGGTATCACGATTCCGACTCTATCATGAGCATGATTCACAATCAAATAAAGATAACTACACTTCTGGGTGTAGCATTAAGCAATAGTCTTAGAGGGTTAAGAGTATTTTTAAGGATAGTTTGAGAATGTTTCTGACTACAGCTCCAGGAATCATTCACCCACTCCCCTCTTTATCAGGACACAACAGTTGTTGTAAAATCGTCTAAATACATCTACTACCGGAATTTGAAACTGACTTGAGTTACCCCTCACAAAGACACTATCCTGGAAAACTAAACCACTGGGCAAAAGAAGCTTATCACTTGTCAATTAAGATTTATCTGAGTTAAACTACAACGTTATCAGACAACGATACCGATCTTGAGTGGTCTTATGTCTGGCCTGTTTGCTGATAACGGCTCAACAACTTGTAGATACTGGTTTGACTGCAGCTCAAGGTTGTTGCAATCTGCTGTTAAGAGGCCCTCATATCGGCCATACCAATAGCTCAGTCACATTCCTCTTGTGTGAGCCTCGACCAAGGGTCACAACGCCAGTTGAAGATCGCTACATCTGGACAATCCACCTGCGGAATCGATAATTGACGGCGACGGCATTTGGACACCCCATCGCCAGACGAACAGGCAAGGACTGTAAGTCGATGCAGCGGCGTGATTGGGAAAGGGTACTGTTCACAGACGACAGTCAATTTTACTTGTTCCCAAATGGTGGCCTAGTCCACGTTTATTGACGTAGGAGAGAGCCACTGGCACCTAACTACATCATAGATGAACACCCTTATGGTAGAGGCGGCGTCATGGTATGGTGCAGTATTTGTGGTCAGCGGACAACAAAGCCTATCATTACACGTGGGAACCTGACTGGCCAAAGATACAGAATTTTTTATTTTGTCTCCTCCACTCGGCCTTATGGCATGTGCATTACCGATGTCATTGCAATGTTGTAAAGACATCGATAAGTGTATTTTGCCCTGTGATGTTATTACCATATTTTGTAATTGTTGTAATAAGTTTATTGGAAAAGACCAAAATGTTTGTTCAAACTATTTCTTATGAGGTAGGATAGGATAACTGTTTGAAGTGTGCCAGAAACACAACGTAATTACACAATACTTAAACTGATAACACCATGTAAGTGACATTTATTCATCTTAGTTGATTGCCATACCTGTCCTCTTAATGAAAATGATCTGGTCATGTATAACAATAGACTACTGTCCGGATGAATGTCTTAAGAAGGCTTCATTTCCAAACATATGCGCCAGATACGCTGGGCTTTAACTGTACATGAATTAGAGTGATCTATATTCTTTTTCCAGAAACAACACAGGCAATGATAGCACAGCATGACACAGTGTATGTATCAACGTATGGCGAGAGGATGGCCTTAAAACATCTACAGCAGCGTGGTGCCATATTTATGAAAGGACGACCTGGCTCTGGGAAATCTAGATTAGGGTTAAAACTTCTTGCTGACGTCTCAAGGCTAACAGACAGGAAACCCGTAGTGTTGACATCGGCAGAACAGTGGAGAGATATCCCTCAGAAACAAAATGATGAAGAATCTGGAAACCCAGCGAATAGGTATGTTGTCATGATAGATGACATTTTCGGATCAACGAATTTTGTTGAGTCTCGCTTTGATGAATGGACTGGAGTGTTTGATGTCATGCATCCTTCTGTTGAATCTGGCCATGTAATGCTGGTGCTTGCATCTCGGCCAGACATTAGTCACCAATGTCAGGCCCGACTGAACAAATACAAACTAACTCGTCATATGTTCTATCTTACCTTAGATGAAGATGAGTTGACACTCCGACCTAGGGAAAAGATGATGTTGCTGAAAAGCATTTGTGAAACAAAAGTGAAGTTTACTAAACATGAGATAAATGAAATAGTACAGTTAAAGACAACACTTGGATTCCCTCAATGTTGTCGATATTTCGCAGGAAGTAAGGAAGCCCAGGCTCAAAGGGTCAGATTCTTCCAAAAACCAAACGAATATGTGCTGGAGGAAGTACGCTGCTTGCAAGAAAGTGATGGGCTTGGCTATCTTGTTCTATTGATTGTGTTGTTTGGCAAAGGATATCTTGATACCAAGAATCTTCAACCTCACAAAAGTCCACAAGAGTTTAAAAAAATGTTAGATGACTTGACAAAGTTATGCTCAAAGATTCCTAACAATCGAAGTCTGTATGAGATCAAACAGAAGGCTGATTCACTTTGTGGTTCATACCTTTGGCACACTGAAAAGGGATATGTTTTCCAGCACCAGTCAATATTCGACGCAGTTTTCATAAACATATCACAAGTGTATCCTGACATTTACATTCATTTGTGTCCCGCTAACATATTTGTAGAATTTGTCAGAACATCAGAAAGGGAGAGTGAGAATAGAAGAAACCTAGTGCTCTTGAATGAGGACCATTATGAAGCATTTGCCGATCGAATAATTCAATTGATGGTCAGTGAAGAAGTGGTCACCATTTTGAAACACCCATCTCTTCATAATGAAACATTTGTAAATCACGTAGTAGATAGATGGTTTTCACAACAAAATGTTGGGGATATAGTTTCTCATAAATTTGACAAGTCAAGGGAAGTGATCAAATTTGCATCTCATTATCTTTACACACAGAATTTAGAAGTCAAAACGTTGTTGGAGCTTTTCGTTCTTAACAAACATTCTTTCATGCTCTCCACCCTATTAGAAAAGTGCCGCCTTTCCACCGATGTGTTGCAGGATTGTTTGCCCTGTGCTATCTATGTAGGGAGCAACCTACTCATAGAGACACTTTTAGCCCAAGGAGTTAAACCAAATGGGAGCTGCTTCAGCGCCCTTTGTGTTTCAAGAGGCATTGACACAAACACCACTGAAAGACTGTTTACCAACATTTGGGATGACGTTGAAAAGATACAAGCACAGTGGGCCAAGGATTACGCGGATCATGTGCATATGTTCAACTGGACACCATTTTCATTGGCAGTACTAAATGGGAACTATACCGTTGTGAAACTGCTAACAGATAAACTGAAGCACGAGAGAAAAAACAACATCATATTTGTAGATTCTTTAAAAGCTTTATTGTGGGAGCTGCAGACAATAAACCCTTATCCTGTGTTCAAACCATACGACATGGACAACTTGACAAAGATAATGAAGCTTCTACTGAACAATTATCATGCCAACGATACTGGTTATCTATGCTGGTTAGCATCGGCACACTCTGATGCATCAGCTCTGAAGCTGATTCTTGAATTCATTAAGACTGTTAAAGTTGCATTGAATAACTCATGTGTTACACAGTGCATACAACCAGATGATGGAGGTCCATTTGATCTGGCTGCAGCATATGGTGGGGCAGATTGTTTGGAATCACTAATAGAACTTAACAGAGATCCATTCATAAATCCAAGTAAGGAAAGCAATGGGTCCTTGCTTCACATTTCAGCCAAACATGGAAACACAAAGTGTGTTGAGATGTTGCTGAAGTTGGGTCATCCTGTTATGTCCAAGGACAGCATTGGCCAGACTCCATTACACTTGGCGGTGTCACACAATCAGACAGAATGTGTAAAACTGCTGATAGAACAAGGATCATCTGTTGCTATGCGGGACAATAATGGACAGACACCACTGTTGCTGATACACACATCCTCACGCACAAACATAGATATTATAAAAAATATACTGAAGTCAAAAAAACATATGAAAGATGAAGAACGCAAAATGCTTGTTCATAAGGCAGTTGCTTGTGGGGACATGGGATTGTTGAGGTTATTGTGTAGTAGAGGCGTTGATGTAAATATGGATATGGAAAAATACCACAAGTACTTTCAGTCAGTTTTTCAAATCTCATTTGTGATATTGCAACGTTCGTATTTTGGATGCAAGGAGACGTTACTTCATGCTGCTTGCAGACATGCTGACGTGGATATGGTGCAATTTTTATGTGAAATTGGAGCCAGCGTTGATGCAGTTGACACGGATGGGGAAACAGTTGCACATGCAGCAGCAACATCACACACTGGTGGAGTAGAAAAACTTCAATATCTGTTTAATGAGAAACATGCTCCTCTTCATAAAACAGACAATAAAGGAAGAACAGCTCTGTTTCCAGCTGTTATATCAGCAGCAAAGACAGGCGATCTGGAGCTTGTTACGTTTCTAATAGACCAAGGACTAAGTGTTAACTGCAAGGATAACTCCAACAGAAATTTGGCGATGCAATCTGCTGCACCTACAGGTGAAAGCTATAAGTACATCTCAGAAACTGTAACACATCTTTTGAATGCACATCTTGATATCCATCAGCAAGATCTTGAAGGTCGAACAGCACTTCACTTTGCTACAAGACATACAAATATCGACTGTGTTTTGGCACTGCTTCAAAAAGGTATTGCATTAAATATAAAAGATAACCAGGGTATGACAGCACTCCACTATGCTGCAAAAGAAGTCAATTCAAGGGACGAGAAGATGGTCCTTGGCATTATGAAACTGCTTCTAAAACAGGAAACTGAACAGGAAACTGGTATTGAAGCACAAGATATTTTGGGGATGACACCACTTCACCATGCTGTTATGTCACAGAAAATTGATAGAGTAATGTTGTTACTGCAACAGAAGGTAAATCTCAATTTACAAGAAACCAATGGGAAAACCGCCCTCCATTTTGCAGCAACGTTTCAATCGTGGCCAATTGCTTCACGCCTCTTAGATGGAGGGTGTGATGCCAATATGCGAGATCTTGGGGGCAAAACAGCATTACATTATGCTTCAAATAATGACTGCATCTTCAATATTCTTCTTCTCCTCGAGAAAGACGTCGATATACACGTTCAAGATAACAAAGGACAGACAGCTCTTCACATTGCTGTAGAACATGAAAGGGAAAAGTGTGTTGAATTGCTTTTAGAGGAAGGCATAGATCCCATGATTCAAGATAATGACGGAATGACTGTGCTTCATAAGGCGGTTACTATGTTGAACACCAGCAAGAATAATAGCATTGTGAAACTACTGCTTGCAAATGGCGACTCTCAAGGTGTACAAGGACAAAATGAGAACACAAATAAAGGCAATTACTCAAGAACGGTTGATAATAAAGGGAGGACAGCCCTCCACTGTGCTGCATTTCATGTAAATAACGATTATGTAGGAATGCTCCTAAATAGAGGCGTGGACCCAAATATACAAGACCAACTCGGCATGACAACACTTGCATTTGCTACAGAACGTTTACCAGTCCAGAGCATTAAGTTACTCTTCGATAAAGGGGCAGATCCTAACTTACGTGACAGTGAGGGCCGTACATTATGGTTCTATGCACGGTCAAAGGATGTATGGCAACTACTGATGGAACAAGGAGTTGATCCAACTGCAACAGATGGACAAGGGAGAACAACACTTCACTATGCAGCACGTTTACGTGGTGCGGACGCAACTAAACTGGCGTTACAAAAAGATATCGATCACACGTTGAAAGACGATACAGGTAGAACAGCCCTTCACTATGCTGCTGACACAGGATCTGAAGAGACAGTTCAACTTCTCTTGGAGAAAGGTGTTGATCCAAGCATCAAAGACAAAACAGGGAAGGTGGCTCTCCATTATGCTGCATACAGCGATTTTCTTGGTGGTGTAAAACTGCTGTTAGAAAAATGTGATAACATAGCTGTAAAAGACAACACTGGCAGAACGGCTCTTCACTATGCTGCAGAGGGAATCGCGGGGGATGTTCTGAAACTGTTGATCGATGAAGGGACCAACACCAGTGTAGAGGACCAAAGTGGCAGGACAGCCCTTCACTATGCTGCAATGTCCGGAACAGCTGACAGTGTTAAGGCTCTTTTATTGACAGGTGTTGACCCAAACAAACAAGATGAGCAGGGGAAAACAGCCCTTCACTATGCTGCAATGTACGGAACAGCTGACAGTGTTAAGGCTCTTTTATTGAAAGGTGTTGACCCAAATGCTCAAGATGAAGCAGGGCAGGTGGCACTCCATCATGCTGCAAGAAGATACTCCAGTGGTAGCATACACTTGCTGTTAGATAAGGATGTTAACCTGACTGTAAAAGACAACACTGGCAGGACAGCTCTTCACTGTGCTGCACAGGAAGGGCTATTTGACAGTGTAAGGTTGCTCTTAGAGAAAGGCTTCGACCCAAACGAACGTGATAATCAGGGAAAGGTGGCACTTCATTATGCTGCACAGTCATCTGACAATGTGGACATTTTGAAACTTTTCATCGATAAAGGGCCTAATCCCAGTGTAGAGGACAATAGTGGCAGGACAGCTGTTCACTATGCTGCAATGAAAGGGTTGGCTGCACATGTTCTGCATCTTTTACTGAAAGGTATTGACCCAAACAAACAAGATGATCAGGGGAAAACAGCCCTTCACTACGCAGCAGGGCTAGGATCTCACTTCATGCGCAGAGCAACTGTCGATATACTCTTACACCATGGCAGTGAAGTCAATATCAGAGACAGGAGGGGCATGACAGCCCTCCATCATGCTGCAGAGGCTGGCAAACATGATTTCACGGCACTGCTTATCGATAATGGTGCTACTATTGATCAACAGCTAATGACTCACCTCCACTATGCAGCAGAACGAGATAATATCCAGTGTTTCAGGCTTCTCGTGCAGCAAGGCATTGACACTAGCATACAAGATAATGAGGGTAGGACAGCTTTTCTTTGTGCTGGAAATGAACTGAAAGAAATATTAATTAAAATTGGTTACCAAATTTAAACAAGACATTTCCAGCACGCCACAGTGATAAATGTAAATCCATCTGTGACAAGAAGCAAGTACTATCACATCAATCACTCAAAGTGTTAAAATCTTCCTCGGAGAGACATGAACCCATGTCTGTGCTGTAGATGAGGACTGTGGCAGACAGACAGACGGACACATGCAGACGGAAACATTACCATCCAAAACGAGTTCCTGTCTGATGAACTATTTCAGCGTAACATATAAATCCTAGTCATAAGCTACAGGTACATAATCTGATGCAAGTAATTGTTTGTTATTAATATATGACAACAGTCTAGGTGTAGATCGTTTCAAATTGTACGATTGATAGTGTTTATAACATACGTGATATTTGCCAACAGAAATGTGTGTGTGTGTGTGTGTGTGTGTGTGTGTGTGTGTGTGTGTGTGTGTGTGTGTGTGTGTTCATTTATTAATTTTTTGAAGTTGTCATTCTATGTTAAGATAACTAGGGTGTATCTACTCAATGAGCACAACTGATTATTTATGAACAAATTCTACTGTCTAAATGTATATGATTGTAAAGCATAAATAGCACTTGTGAGTGAATGTTGGTGTTTATTCGGTGTGTCACTTTTATCGTGGTGTGGTGGATTAATGTTGGAGAAAGCAGGTGATGCAAGTATTGGCAGTTAACCTATTTTCAGAGCACAAGAATGGCACTGACGTTAAAGTCAGGGCGAATCTTGATTCAAAACTGAAATATATTGTCAGCGGTGGATAAATTCTACTTTATACATATCATCTGGCAATGTTACATACAGTTTGTTGTTTACAACTAATGTAAATCAGAATTACTTCATAGGTACATGTACTCCATTGTTGCACTGTCATCTTAGTAGCTATGTCCATAGTATACATGATGATTAGGACCCGTGAAGATCCGGGGTAGAATAGGTCTTCAGCAACCCATGCTTGCCATAAAATGGTGACTATGCTTGTCGTAGGAGGCGACTAACGTGATCGGGTGGTCAGGCTCGCTGACTTGGTTGATGCATGTCATCGAGCCCAATTGCGCGGATCGATGCTCGATATATCAATCACTGGATTGTCTGGTCCAGACTCGATTATTTACAGACCGTCGTATAGCTGTTCACGAGTTGGCAAGAACCGTTTATATTGTTCTGCATGGTACGGATGGAAAAATACATATAAAATATATTCAAACATTTTATCTAGAATACTGTTTACCTTAAAGATAAGATGGCCAATTAATAGTTTGGCCCACGACAACGTGCAGCATGGCTGACGCCATTTTTCGCAAATGCAAAAACACGCTAGCTCCAGGTTGTAATAAGAGTGACCTCCCTTTCCTATATGAACCACAGGTGATGTGAATTCGCCCTCTAAGCCATGTGAATAATGTGCACTCTGTGACAGGAGTAACAGACATAAGGGTTATGTCCAAATTGAGTGAGTTAGTGAGTACTTACCGCAGTGGTTTTTATCTCATTTTAATGGTATAACATTGTCTTCATTACTGTCCTGCAAGGGTCCTCTAATACAACATCTAGTGGTTTTGTACATACATCATGCGTTTGTGTTATGAAGTGAATTGTTACTTTGACTTTTTTATCTTATAAAATATGGTTGGTTGGTTGGTTTGTTGTTTAACGCCGCACTATTACAGCTATATAACGGCGGTGTTATTTAACTCCGTTGTATATGGGCATGTGGCCTTTCATACAATAAAGAGAGTGAGTATGGTTTTATGCCGCTTTTAGCAAAATTCCAGCAATATCACGGCGGGGGACACCAGAAATGGGCTTCACACATTGTACCCATGTCGGGAATCGACAAGCGAACGCTTTAACCACTAGGCTACCCGACAGCCCCTACATGTATGACCAAATTGAAACGCAGAGGTTAAAGAAATTGTTTCGCACAGACCTGAATTGTGACATCAGTAAATGACCACCCAAAATCAATCTATAATTCCGTGATCCGCCTCCCTGGTCTAGTGGTAGAGCGTCCGCCCGGATATCGGAAGGTCCGGGGTTCGATCCCCGGCCGCATCAGACGTTAAAACATGGTACTTGTTGATACCCTGTTGGGTATTCATGTTAAACTGCGGCATGGTATCTCAATGAGCTAGCACTATAAATCGGCATCAGTCCGGACTAGTACAAGCAGCCACACAAACACCCACACGTACATGCACGTCGCTATATAAGTGCAATAATCTTGGACGCGACGTTAAACCCCATTTCACCTCACCTCACCTCACAGATTAATGAGGGTGTATGGTATTAGACAATATCTAGCTCATGATGTCAATCACTGGTTATTGCTGAAATACTGCTGCATGCGGGGTTGAACAACATAAAACAATATAAGTACAATAAACAATAATTTTCTAAAAGTATAATTATTCAAACATGCGAACGAATGATTATGATTGACATACTTCTGAACACTAATCTACATAAGACTAAAACGGTGGAAGTATGGAACATTACCCTTTGGTCCTGTATGAAGCTCGGCAATACTGCAGACATATGACTCAATTACTTAAAATACCCGTGACTGACTGAGTATGGTTTTACGCCGCTTTTAGCAATATTCCAGCAATATCAAGGCGGGGGACACCAGAAATGGGCTTCACACATTGTACCACTGTGGGGAATAGAACCCGGGTCTTCGGCGTGACGAGCGAACGCTTTAACCACTATGCTACCTGACAGCCCCTACATATCCGTGAAGATCCGGGGTACAAAAGGTCTTCAGCAACCGATGTATGCCCTCAAAAGCGCCTGCATGTCGTAAGAGGCGACGCTAGCTGGTTACGCTAGCTGACATGGTTGAGGCATGTCATGGTATCCCAATTACGTGGATCGATGCTCATGAAGTCACTCGTCGTTAAAGCGTTCGCTCTTCACGCCGAAGACCCGGGTTCGATTCCCGACATGGATACAATGTGTGAAGCCAATTTCTTGTGTCCCCCGCCGTGATATTGCCGGAATATTGCTAAAGGCGGCGTAAAACCAAATTCACTCACTTACTCACTCTGGCTGAGCCATTCTTGAAGCACTCGAGAAGTGAATAAGTAACAGGAGTAGCAGAAGTAGTAACAAAAGTAGCAGGAGTAGCAGAAGTAGTAACACAAGTAGCAGGAGTAGCAGAAGTAGTAACACAAGTAGCAGGAGTAGCAGAAGTAGTAACACAAGTAGCAGGAGTAGCAGAAGTAGTAACACAAGTAGCAGGAGTAGCAGAAGTAGTAACACAAGTAGCAGGAGTAGCAGAAGTAGTTACACAAGTAACAGAAGTAGCAGAAGTAGTAAGATAAGTAGCAGAAGTAACAGAAGTAGCTGAAGTAGCAACAGAAGTAGCAGAAGTAGTAACACAAGTAACAGAAGTAACACAAGTAGCAGAAGTAGTAACATAAGTAACATAAGTAGCAGGAGTAGCAACAGAAGTAGTAACACAAGTGGCAGGAGTAGCAACAGGAGAAACACAAGTAGCAGGAGTAGCAACAGAAGTAGCAGAAATTGCAACAGAAGTAGCAGAAGTAGTAACACAAGTAGCAGGAGTAGTAACACAAGTAGCAGACGTTGTAACACAAGTAGCAGGAGTAGTAACACAAGTAGCAGGAGTAGTAACACAAGTAGCAGGAGTAGTAACACAAGTAGTAACACAAGTAGCAGGAGTAGTAACACAAGTAGCAGGAGTAGCAGCAGGAGTAGCAAGAGTAGTAACACAAGTAGCAGGAGTAGCAGGAGTAGTAACACAAGTAACAGGAGTAGTAACACAAGTAACAGGAGTAGCAACATAAGTAGCAGGAGTAGCAGGAGTAGTAACACAAGTAGCAGGAGTAGTAACACAAGTAACAGGAGTAGTAACACAAGTAACAGGAGTAGCAACAGGGGTAGCAGGAGTAGTAACACAAGTAGCAGGAGTAGTAACACAAGTAACAGGAGTAGCAACATCAGTAGCAGGAGTAGCAGGAGTAGTAACACAAGTAGCAGGAGTAGTAACACAAGTAACAGGAGTAGTAACACAAGTAACAGGAGTAGCAACAGGAGTAGCAGGAGTAAAAACACAACTAGCAGAAGTAGTAACACAAGTAGCATGAGTAGTAACACAAGTAGCAGAAGTAGTAACACAAGTAGCAGGAGTAGTAACACAAGTAACAGGAGTAGCAACACAAGTAGCAGGAGTAGTAACACAAGTAGCAGGAGAAGCAGCAGGAGTAGCAGGAGTAGTAACACAAGTAGCAGCAGTAGTAACACAAGTAGCAGGAGTAGCAACAGAAGTAGCAGGAGTAGTAACAGAAGTAGCAGAAGTAGTAACAAAAGTAGCAGGAGTAGCAACACAAGTAGCAGAAGTAGTAACACAAGTAACAGAAGTAGTAACACAAGTAGCAGGAGTAGCAACATGAGTAGCAGGAGTAGTAACACAAGTAACAGGAGTAGCAACAGGAGTAGCAGGAGTAGTAACACAAGTAGCAGAAGTAGTAACACAAGTAGCAGGAGTAGCAACACAAGTAGCAGAAGGAGTAACACAAGTAGCAGAAGTAGCAACAGGAGTAGCAGGAGTAGTAACACAAGTAACAGGAGTAGCAGAAGTTGTAACACAAGTAGCAGAAGTAGTAACACAAGTAACAGGAGTAGCAACAGCAGTAGCAGGAGTAGTAACACAAGTAGCAGGAGTAGTAACACAAGTAGCAGGAGTAGTAACACAAGTAGCAGGAGTAGCAACATGAGTAGCAGGAGTAGTAACACAAGTAACAGGAGTAGTAACACAAGTAACAGGAAAAGCAGCAGGAGTAGCAGAAGTAGTAACACAAGTAGCAGGAGTAGCAACACAAGTAGCAGAAGTAGTAACACAAGTAACAGGAGTAGCAACAGGAGTAGCAGGAGTAGTAACACAAGTAGAAGGAGTAGTAACACAAGTAGCAGGAGTAGTAACAGAAGTAGCAGGGGTAGCAACATGAGAAGTAGGAGTAGTAACACAAGTAACAGGAGTAGCAGAAGTAGTAACACATGTAGCAGGAGTAGTCACATAAGTAACCGGAGTAGCAACAGGAGTAGCAGGAGTAGTAACACAAGTAGCAGGAGTAGTAACACAAGTAACAGGAGTAGTATAATAAGTAACAGGAGTAGTAACACAAGTAGCCGGAGTAGTAACACAAGTAGCCGGAGTAGCAACAGGAGTAGCAGGAGTAGTAACACAAGTAGCAGAAGTAGTAACACAAGTAACAGAAGTAGTAACACAAGTAACAGGAGTAGTAACACAAGTAACGGGAGTAGCAGAAGTAGTAACACAAGTAGCAGGAGTAGCAACAGGAGTAGCAACAGAAGTAGCAGGAGTAGAACAGAAGTAGCAGAGGTAGTAACACAAGTAGCAGGAGTAGCAACAGAAGTAGCAGGAGTAGCAACAGAAGTAGCAGAAGTAGTAACACAAGTAGCAGGAGTAGCAACAGAAGTAGCAGGAGTAGCAACAGAAGTAGCAGAAGTAGTAACACAAGTAACAGGAGTAGCAGAAGTAGTAACACAAGTAGCAGGAGTAGCAACAGAAGTAGCAGAAGTAGTAACACAAGTAGCAGGAGTAGCAACAGAAGTAGCAGGAGTAGCAACAGAAGTAGCAGAAGTTGTAACAGAAGTAGTAGGAGCAGCAACAGAAGTAGCAGAAGTTGTAACATGAGTACAGAATAGATAGAACTGGTGACAAGAGTAGCAGACGCTGTAGAAGAAACATACCAGCAGAGGTAGTAGGGCAGTGAATGAGTGGAGTGAATCGTGTTTTACGGTTCAGTAAGCAGTATACTAGCTGTGTCACGGCGGGGTGTAACGGGGGTGAAGCCAGTGGTTGAACCATGTTTGCGCTGGGTTCGATGACACATGTTCGATTACAAATAGCCGAGACTTGAAATATGTGAGCCTCTGTTTATCTTCGAAAACTCATTCTTCCAACTTTCTCAGATTCCAAACAGTCGTTACCGGCGTCCTGGGGGGAAATGAGGTGAGGTGAGGTGAAATGGGGTTCAACGTCGCGTCCAAGATTATTGCACTTATATAGCGACGTGCATGTACGTGTGTGTGTGTTTGTGTGTTTGTGTGGCTGCTTGTATTATACTAGTCCGGACTGATGCCGATTTATAGTGCTAGCTCACTGAGATACCATGCCGCAGTTTAACATGAATACCCCACTCAGACACAGTATACTGACTCC